GTTTTGCGCTGTATAAATTCCTTTGGCAAGAAAATTACTGTGGCAAGACATTTTTGAAGCATCTTAATGCTTCATTAGTTAAAAGACGTTTTAACTTTTTCTTTGTGAAACTGACAATTTCATGAGTACTGTCAGCATAGTACTGACATACATAGTTGTATTGAAATTTAGTAGTATTGTATTCTTCCATCCATTTTCCAAAAATATTTGTATTTTTTCCTCTGGTTTAACAACACCATATCTTTAAATTTTCTTCTGCTGTTATAAGTAAGACAACTTATAACTGCCAACCACAGTTGAATGTTTGGCATATAGCTTCCAGATTTTTTTCTGTCTATATTCTAAAATAACTTTTCTTACAAGATTGGGCACTTTTACACATGTTAAAGGAAATCAAGTGGGTTTTAACAGTGTATACAAACATACCCATACATATTCTTTTGCTGAACTATTTGAAAGGAAGTTGTAGTCATTGTGACACTTTACCGTTAAATTATACCCTAAATAATTCAGCATCTGTTTCCAAAGAATAGGGACATTCTCCTACATAACCCAATGCCATTATCACACCTAAAAAAGAAATTCAGTAGTATCTAATATGAAGTCCATATTTCAGCTTCCCTAATTGTTTCCCCAAAATGTTTCATAGCTTTTCTTTATCCTGGGTTCAAAGTTTTAGTTGGTTGTCATATCTCTTTAGTTCCTTTTAGCTTAGACAACTACTCTTAGAGTTTTCATATGCTTATTTTCTTGACATTGACTATTTTTTTTTAAAGGAAGAGTCTAAGGCCAGCTATCTTATAGATTGAATCACAGTCCGGATGGTCGTGTTTCCCATTAGTAAATTCAGAAACCCTAACATTGCAGGATATACCTTCTCACATACACGGAGCAGTTGCCAAGATAGATGTGCTGGTCCATAAGAAAACAAAACTAAAAATCCGAGTATGACCTGCAGCAGTGGCGATCCCTGCCCCCGTCCCTAGCCCCGGATATATGGCAGTATCTGAAGATGTTTTGGTTGTGACTGGTGTGTGTGTGTTAGGGGTGGGGTATTACTGGCTTCTAGTGCATAGAGACCAGGGATGCTGCTGAACATCCTGCAATGCACTGGATAGTCCCGATCACAAAGAATCATCTGGATCTAAATGTCAGTGGAGCAGAGGTGGCGAAATCCTGCTATATAGAATAGCAAGTCCCAGTCCCCAGCACTTGCTGTCCCCCTCACCTGCGTTAGTTGTCTTTGTACCTGACGTATGATGTATTTTGCTTGTTTGTTTTTTGTCTTGCCTACCAACCCAGATCACAAACTCCTTGGGAAAGGAATTTTGTTCATGTGCAGCACCTAGAACAGAGTCTGCAGAAGATGCTCAGTAAGTGTTGCGTGACTTCATTGTCCAAGTCATGCAGCCTTCCCCACATCATCCCGTTACCACCAAGTCCTGTGCATTTTCTATCCCAGACAGCTCTTTAATTTTTTCCCTCTGTTTTTCCAATACCATTGCCCTGGGTCAAGGCCCTCATTTTCAATCCCTCCTTGGAATATTGAAATATCTTTATTGCAAGAGCCCAGTCTTATTAACAGCTCCGCGCTCCCTTACTCCTGGAATATAAAGCTCTGAACTCCTGAGGGCACAGTGGTCTCAGGGGAGCCCCTGCCCGTGCTCCAGCCTCATCTCCTTACTGCTCCTCCTCTGTATCTATTGTGGTCCTTGAGAACAAGCAACGGAACATAATCACTGTCTAATTTGAGCAGTAAAGGACTTTACTGGGAGGATATGGGGGGACAGACTGGAGGCTGGAGAACCAGAGGAATAAGAACAGGAAGCACCATGTGGCCCCTTTTTTTTTTTTGTCTGAAGTAGGAAGCGTTGGTTCAGACTGTCTCCACTGCTGTGGCCGAGCCTGGACTTGGAGTCACTGCAATTGCTTTCATCTTGGCCAGGCTAACTCCCCATGGGGCATGTGTGTGTGTCTGTGCATGTGTGTCTGGTTTTCCATGCTTTGAGTGCTGGAATAGAGGAGGAGGATTTCAATGTATTGCCTCTCAGCTACAAATCCACCCTTGTCCTACCTTGAGATTCTGGAGCTGGACCCTGCAAACGTTTTTCCTTTACCAGCTGGTGCAGTGCTAGGCTTTGTAGGGTGCTGGAGGTATGCTGTGAGGCCCAAGGGAAGGGATCCCTTTCTGTTTCTGGTGTGTATGTGTTTCCTTCCTCATTGTGGCTGTCAGCAGAGTGGCATTCACTCTCCAGTGAGTTTTCTTGGCCTCCTAGCAGGAAGCTTCTTGTGAACCAGCTTCTGCGCCCTGGCAGCCACTTCCTGTGCACTAGCACCTTTCTGAGAGAGGGAGAGAGAGAAGGGGAGAGCTGCACTCTGCACTTGCTGGTTTTTAATTGAATTAAATTTAAATTGAGTTTTACAATTCTTTTCTACCCTTTTTAGAATTAACTTCTTAATAGTTGACATTTCACTGTCCCTGTACGAATCGTTGGTGTGGTTTCTCACAGGACCCTGACTGATGCAACTTTTTTTAGTTTCTGTGGTTGGAGGCAGGATTTCTGCCTCTTGTTACTGAAAGCTCACAAGGGCGATTCCCTCCCATAAAGGAGGACGGGGTTGGACACCCAAAAGAGGAGACCTGCCTATCACATCTGCATGTGCTATAACCTTGTGTCTGTCCTCGATGGCGGCTTCTCTGTGTCTCTGCACATGCCGTTGCCTCTCCCAGGGGCTCCCAACAGGCACCGGACCCCCAAATCCTCTTCATTCTGCAGCCCAGCTGAAAAACAGCTTCTCGTGGCCCCTCCCCTCGCCCCTGAGCCTCCGTCCTTTGCTTCCACTGCGCTTCTGCTGTAAAACAACATCCTTGCCTTGCTGTGCTTGCTTCTCTGATCCCCGAGTGCAGACAGCCTGTTCCCCCTTGTCTCCTGAGCACATGGTGGGTGCTCAGTGTGTATTTGTTTTGTTTTGCTTTTATTTATTAATTTGAATAGAGACGAGGTCGCACCATGTTGCCTAGGCTGGTTTTGAACTCCTGAGCTCAAGCAATCCCTCGGCCTCGGCCTCCCAAGGTGCTGGGATTACAAGTGTGAACCACCACACCCAGCCAGTGTATGTTTGCTGTATGGCCTAATCGAGTGCACTGGAAGAGGCTTCATTTCCCTTGGAGGACTCACTGATTAATTACCCACCCGAAAATTCTTACGTGTAACCTACTGGGTTAGTATTGTTGATGAACAGCCTAACTTAGTTCATTTTCATTTTTAGGAGAAGACCCTTTTTCTACCAAGTCATTGAAGACAACATGATATTGTGTCAGAGAGAATTTGTTCCCTCAGCAGTGTGGGGTCCTGGGAGAGGTCAAGGGTGTGGGGCAGAGAGGGGATTACAGGTTGAATTGTGAGCAGACACCTTAACCCCTGGTGTCTCAGAATGTGATATTGTTTGGAAACAGGGTCGTTGCCAATGTCATTAGTTAAGATGATACACTGGAGTAGAGTGGGCCCCTAATCCATTTGACACAGACATGCATACCAGGAGAACAGCATGTGAAGGAAGGCAGCCACCAAGCAGAATGCCAGCAGCTGGACAGGGCTGGCACGGATCTTTTCCCAGCACCCTGAGGGAGCGCAGCCCGCCGACACCTTGATCGTGGACTTCTAGCTTCCAGAACTTGAGACAGGAAGTTCTGTTGGTGAAGCCACTCAGTGTGTGTGGTATTTTGTTATAACAGCCTCAGCAAACTAATAGACTGGGACCTGGATTTTCCAGTTCCTGGCCAGCTGGCTACTTTCATTACTTCCTGCACAGTCTATGAGGTGCTGTTACTCACTTTTCCTTATGAAAATAGCCTGAGTGGCCGGGCGCGGTGGCTCAAGCCTGTAATCCCAGCACTTTGGGAGGCTGAGGCAGGTGGAACACGCGGTCAGGAGTTGGAGACCAGCCTGGCCAAGATAGTGAAACCCCATCTCTACTGAAAATACAAAAATTAGCCGGGTGCGGTGGCGGGCACCTGTAATCCCAGCTACTCAGGAGGCTGAGGCAGGAGAATGGCTTGAACCCAGGAGGTGGAGGTTGCAGTGAGCCGAGATCGCGTCACTGCACACTCTAGCCTGGGCGACAGAGCAAGACTCTGTATCAAAAAGGAAAAAAAAAAAAAAAGAAAAGAAAATAGCCTGAGAACTCATTCTGTCCAGTCTTTGATAATAGCCCGCGCAGGGCAGCAGTTACAATAGAAGATGGAAATCCTATTTCTGTGTGAAATCCCCTGGTTTTCAAATGTTGGCAACAAAATATTTTAAAACAGGTGCTGACCAAAGAAAACGCCCCTGTGAGGCCACCTGTTTACAACCTCTGCATTTGTGGAATCACATTGTGAGAAGTTGTGTGAAGGGAGAAGGATCAGGGAGAGGAACTGACCGATAGATAACAAGATAATAACAAGCCACTGATAATAACAGTGCTTAGACTCATAATACTAAGCGCTGTTCTGAGTGCCTTATCTATGTCATCTTGTTTAATCCTTATTATAATCCTTATTATACCCTGTGAGGTGTGTTCTGTGATTGTCCTCATATTACAGAGGAGGAAACTGAGTCACAGAGGGCTCATTCCCTTGCCCAAGGCCACACAGCTAAGTGTTCGTACCAAGTCCCAAACCCAGGGCTGATTCCAGGGCACGTGCACCTCCTTCCAGTTCCGCGTGGAGAGGGCATGGGGCTATGGGTGGGGAAGCCTTGGGGCTGGGGCTAAGAGACAGTAGCACGCTAGGGATGACTTGTGTGTTGCTGAGATCCACTTGGGAGCTTCTATCTTTGATGTGTGGTAAGGACAGGAGTTTCTGTGCACCCTGAGCATAGGTGTGGAACTAACCAGGCACTCAAACTTTGTGGCTATATAAAGGGATGCTACCACAGTAGTCATTGATGGCTCATTACCTTGCAACAAAAGAACTATTGTGTGTTAGCCAATGACAGCATTCACCAGCAAGGTGTGACTGTCAGGCCAAGGAAGTGACATGTAGTGCCGTGCCTGGGACAGCCTGACTGTCCTAGTCCCAGCTCAGCTGCACAGATGGCGGTTTGGGGGTGAGGACAAAGCATTAAGTGGAGGTTGGTGGCAGACAGTGGGAGAGCCTCAGGGAGAAGGGCCGTGAAGGCAGCACTTGGGTGTCACTGTTCACAGTAGAGAATGGCTAATTACTAGAGGAAGGGTCCGGTCCCCTCCCTTCCCCTCCCCTCCCATTCCCTCTCCTTCCTTCTTCTCCCCTCTTGTCTCCTCTCTTTTCGGACAGGGTCTCACTCTGTAGCCTAGGCCAGAGTGCAGTGGTGTGAACACAGCTCTCTGCAGCCTTGACCTCCTGGGCTCAGGTGATCCGCCCACCTCAGCTCCCAGGTAGCTGGGACTACAGGTGCACACCACCATGCTAATTTTTTGTAGAGATGGGATTTCACTCTGTGGGCCAGTCTGGTCTCCAACTCCTGACCTCAAGTGATCTGCCTGCCTCAGCCTCCCAAAGTGCTGGGATTCTGGGTGTGAGCCACTGTACCTGGCCTGGGTTTTTTTTTTTTCTTTTTTGTGAGACGGTCTCACTCTGTCACCCAGGCTGGAGTGCAGTGGTGCAATCTTGGCTCACTGCAACCTCCGTGCCTCTTAGGCTCAAGCCATTCTCATGCCTCAGCTTCCTGAGTAGCTGGGATTACAGGCATGCACCACTACACCCAGCTAAGTTTTGTATTTTCAGTAGAGGTGGGGTTTTGTCATGTTGCCCAGATTGGTCTCTAAGTCCTGGCCTCTAGTGATCTTCCCACCTTGGCCCCCCAAATTGCTGGGATTATAGGCATGAGCCACTGCACCTGGCCGGGTCTGGGGTTTTCTACACTGTCGGTTGAGGCTGGAGCTCAGGTAATTCTGGGAAGTTTGCAGGTGTCCTGAGGTTGTATAAAATCATCCCCTGGGGGGCTGCCCACCTCAAGTCTCCTATTCCTAGAAACAGCTGCCCCTACTCGTGCTCTGAGATCAGCTGGGAGCCATTTACAAGATGTAACCCCACCTGCTCTTACTGCACTGGATTGGACCAAGCGTGGTCTCCTGATTTAATCAAGACCAACTGCAGAGACCACTGGGGTGTTTTTGAGAGTGATTGGGAGACAAAGCCGTGTGACCTGAGATGCGTAGAAAACGTCTCCAGGACAAGATGAGTGTCGAAGACTGGGAGGCAGAAAGTCGGGGTCTGCAGGCTCTCCAGTCATTTCCGAGATCCACTGCATCTTCAGTTCGGGTCAGTGTTCTTATCTCCAGATGACACATTTTTCCCTTTTGTTTTAGCTATTCAAGTTGGTAACTGTTACTAGTGACCCCACGTGTCCCACCCAGTTTCTGGGGGGAGCTGGCATGTGCATCCTTTTGAGCTCTCAGTCACCCACCAGTTTCGGGCACTGGGTTTGGGCCGGTACGGGTTTGCCATCTGGGTTTCCCTCTGGCTTGGCAGGGGTGGATGAGGTGTGATGAGTTCAGGGTTGGAGAGAGCCTCTGGGGTCGTGCAGGAAGCGTGGGGGATCCGGGCACTGGGCCACATGTAGCCTCGCCTCTCTCAGCCTCAGGAGGAGGTGCTGTGTTCTGGGGTGGTGCCCAGAGGCTCCAAAACCAGGAGGAACGGCTGGAGCCCCCCAAGGCTGATGCATGATTTGTGCCAAGTCAGCAGCAGCTGGGAGGCCGGGACTGGCCTCCAGAGCTCCCTGGAGTGGGGTGGGGGTGGGTAGGCGCCGTGCAACAAGGTAGGATAAGGGCAGTAGCACCTGGAGAGGCCTTGAGTCTTTGAGATGCCCTGGAGCGGTGGTGGGGGCGGTCATAAACATACTCATCTTATCACCACAGTGACGTCACTTTGTAGTCGAGTAGGCTGGAATGCCAGTCTTGACCATCACGTACTGGTGCGTGATCCTGGGCGAGTCCTTTAACCTCTCTGCATCCCCGTGTCCTTGAGAAAATACTGCCCGCATCCTGGAGCCACAGGAGCTAGAGCCTGCGCAGTGCTCACACTGGGGCCCGCCTGGTTTGTGCGCAGGCTCAGTAACCACAGGGAGCGTCGTGAGGAGAAAGGCCTGAGGAAGCTGAAGGGGCTTTGCCTTTGCAGCCCAAGGAAGTGCAGACACTCTGCCTTCCTGATTGTCTCACAGACCCTTCCCAGTAGCTGCCCAGACGTGAAGGAAGGCCCAAGCTGACAGTAATTGGAGTGACACTTACTGAGTGGCTCCTACGGTTCAGACCCCGTTCTAGGGACTGTATGTGCATTAACTAATACTCCCAACTCTGTGCTGATAGTTGCTAGTTTTAGGCCCATTTTACAGATGAGGAAACCGAAGTATAAAGCTACTTGCCCAAGATCACACAGCCAACAAAAGACAGAGCTTGGCTGTGAGCACAGTCGTTGTCCTAAGTCAAGGCCAGTACTGAGAGTCACAAAAGGACAGAGTGAGTGACCGTAGAAGCAGGCAGGACAGGCATTGATATGTCACTGAAATGACAACTTGCTTCGGTGCTGTCAGGTCAGGGCTATCAGGCGTTTTCTGTGCTCAGCCCCAGACTCTGTCAGCCCTCCTGCCAAAAATGTGTATTTCAAACCAAGGAGCTACGACAGGTCCCAAATTACAAAGCAACTCTCACAGAACGTCAATAGGTCTTTGGAGTTTTTTTTTGCTGGAGCTCCCAAGGTCTCCACCTTCCCAAGACATTTGGTGGACGCCAGAAAAGCCCCGCCCTAAAACCGGAGCTGAGAGAACATCTTCCTCAGGTACTTGTTGTCCATCAGTGATGTACTGACCGCCTCTGTGAAGTTTTCCAGATCAGGGATGGTCACGTAATTCAGGAGCCTGTTCATTTTCCCCAGAAGGACCCGGATCTTGCAGGCTGTTGGGCCGGGCTCTGCCTCCAGGATGCTTTTCTTCTGCATTTCACTGAGCACCTCCGGGATCACAAACTGCGGGGATGCACCGAGGACTGGGTGAGAATGCACGCTGCCTGAGCGCCGTGCCCCAGACCCAGGCCGGGCCTCCTGTGGCCAGGACCAAGTGTTCCCTGAGCCTTCACCCGAGAAAGCAGATCTGTGTTCTCAGCCCCGCCACCTGCCACCTTCCTGCTGCTTCCAAATACACTCGCTTGGCTGGTATTGTGGTCATGTGGACCATGGTGATGTGGGCTGAGGCCACGCCCATGCCTGGCCCTAAACCTGAGGGAAAGCAGCTCTGGTGGCCTGGCGCAGCCTGCCCTCCGAAGGCCATGCTCTCCTGGGGCTGCCGGGTTTCTCCCCGTGGGTCCCGACCATGGGGCTCTGCAAGGGCTGGCATGCCTCACAGTGGCTGCCTGTGAGCCCCGCCTCCACCTTAGGCTCCTTGGGAGTGTATCTGGGTTTTGTTTAGATGAAGGCCTGGCCCAGGGAGGCCGCCTCTATGCCAAGTTCTGCCTGGGTCTGCAGCCTGCAGAAGACAGAGGACAGAGTCTCCTGGAGGGGATAAGATAGGACGATGCCTGTGTGCTCCATTCCTATGCGTATGAAATGTCTTCACACAATATTGTTATTGTTTTAGCCACACAATAACCTATGTCCATCTTATAGAAGACTATGGGCTCAGACCACAGGCTAGAGTCACCCAGGAGGTAGAGTGGCTGGGCATGGAGGGGTCTGTTCTTCCCCGGGCACACTACTGCCCGCCTGGGCTGACCCTGTGCCAGGCTCTGTCTCCTTTCTTTAGCTCTGATTAGTTACACTGGTGCTGATTTGCTTCATTTGGGACACGCCTTGCACAGGCACAGCTGCCCCTCCCCGGGACTCTAGCTCTCCAAGGCGTCAGGCCCCCTGGTCTCTCTGCCCACAGCAGCCCTTCCTGCAACCTCACTGGGCACTGCCTTCCTGTCCCCGCCCTCCTCCCTTCACCATTCAAAGGCCAGTGCCCCAGGCCCTCATGCTGTCCAGCCCCAGCTGGTCCTGGCCGTGGCAGGAGTGCAAATGGCCACTTGGGCTTGGTAGTGCTGGCCTCCTCTTCACTGGATTGGCTGCTCTGAGAAATCCAGGATAGGCAAGGATGCTGGGATGTCGTTATTCACCTGCAAAATAGGAGGTCTTGCCAGGCGAGGGAACCTGGGGGCAGCCAGCAGGCCAGGCCTGTTTGGAAATTTCCCAGTTTTAGCACTCAAAGTCCCATGTCCCAGGAAACTCTTCAGTCCTGAGCAAACTGGTGTGTCTGGTCACCCGAAACCTAGCACACTCCCTCCTCTCTTCTCAGCTACTCTGCACACAGCTGCATCTATTCTGCTGGAGTCTGCTGTCATCAGCCCACTTCTCCATCTGTCTCATTCCCAGGGGACATGTCCATCCATCTGTCTGCCAAGGCAGTCCTGCTCCCAGGGGCCCTGGGCACCTCTCTGGGTGGGGGGGTCTGTAAAGTGGAGCCTTCCATGTGGAATAGCCTGGGGGAGCTGAGCAGGAAGAGAACCTTGCTTAGGCCTCACTGGGGGAGCCTAGGACACCCTCATTCCTTTCCTTGACTCTGGTCCTCAGGAAGGGTCTCAGGAGCCCGCCTTCTTCCCCCATTACAGTTGGAGTTCCAGGGGTCCAGCCTCACCATTTGGAGTAGGTGGAACTGTGTCCCCCAAAAGTGATGTCCAAGTACTAACCCCAGTGCTGGGGAACGTGAGCTTATTTGGAAACAGGGTCTCTGTGGATGTGATTAAGTTAAGGCTCTCAGGATGAGCTCCTTCTGGATTTAGGGTAGGCCCTAGATCCAACTACTGGTGTCCTTTTAAGAAAAAGGAGAAGGAGGTTTGACACAGACACACAGAGGAGAAGGCTGTGTGAAGGTGGAGGCAGACACTGGAGTGATGCTGCCACGAGCCAAGAACACCAGAAGTCATCAGAAGGTGGGAGAGCAAGGAGGGTCCCCCATTGGAGCCTCTGGAGGACGGTGGCCCCACAGACACCTTGATCTCAGACTTGGCCCAGAACTGTGAGAGAACAAACTTCTATTGTTTCAGGCCTCCTAGTTTGTGCTGATTTTTCCAGCAGCCCTAGGAAACAAATACAGCATTGGTCCTCTCCTGCCTGCCTGGGCAGTGTGCCTCGAACTTCCAGGGGATCATCTGTGTAGAGAAGAGTGGGTTTGGGGAGGAGGGAAGAGGACACAGCAGCAGGCCTGGGGACACAGATTCCCCCTTGTTTCTGGCCCTGACTTCTGACATGGCCGCTGCGAGTGTCAAGTGAGATAATGCAGCATGACATCTGTGTTTTATTCTCAGGATCATATCCTGAGCTCAAGTGACCCTCCTGCCTCAGCATCCCAAGCACCTGGGGCTACAGGTGCGAGAGCCACCACGCCCAGTGAATTGTATTCATTTATTTACTTATTTATTTTCTGAGACAGGGTCTGGCTCCGTCACCCAGGCTGGAGTGCAGTGGTGTGATCTCGGCTCCCTGCAACCTCTGCCTCCTGGGTTCAGACAATTCTCCTACCTCAGTTTCCCGAGTAGCTGGGATTAAAGGCATAAGTCACTGGGATCAGCTAATTTTTTTGTATTTTTAGTGGAGACGGGGTTTCACCAGGCTGGCCAGGCTGGTCTTGAACTCCTGGCCTTAAGTGATCCACATGCCTCGGTCCTCCAAAGCACTGGGATTACGGGCATAAGCCAATGCACCTGGCCCATGCCCAGTTAATTTTAAAATTTTTTTGTGCAGAAGGGTTCTTGCTATGTTGCCCAAGCTGGTTTCAAGCTGCTAGGCTCAAGGGATCCACCTGTCTCGGCCTTCCAAAGTCCTGGGGCAACAGGTGCAAGTCATTCTTCCCAGGCTAGCCTGAGCATTTTGATGTGAATTTCCTCAGAGCTTAAGCTCACAGTGCTGGGAAGTTACATGAATGCGTTTGTGTGTACTTAAACATCAGGTAAAGCAAAGTGGCCTTGTTTTTATACGGGTTGGCATATGTAGAGCAAGCCTGGAGGCCTGTGGCAGGGGCCAGTCTAAGCCAGCAGTGGCCTTTGTACAGGTGGGCACCCCACCTGGTGGAGGGTGTGGGGAGTCATGACCTTACCTTGTACCTGGTGCCCAGGTTTAAACAAATCCGCTTCTGTTCATAGGTGAAGCAGAAGATGATCTTATCCTGGCTCCTTATTTGTACCTGGATGTACTCATTGATTTTCAAGGAGATGGGCTGGAGAGGGGGTGCGTGGACATGGATGTTCAGATTCCACCAGTTCCAGGCCTTCTGACGTTTGTCTTTGGGGAAGTAGTAGCCCAGGTTGGAGCTCAGGTTCAACCTGCACCAAGAGAAAGCATGTCAGGCAGCCAGGGCGCTCAGCCCTGGGCCTCTGCTCTTCCTCCTCTCCTTCCCTTTCTTTTTCCTCACTTGGCCACAGAAAGCCTGACAGGGACTTGATGGGTAGGAGAAGCTCCAATATGGACAACCAGCCCAACACCAGGCGCTGTCCTCTGCGCTGGCCTCACTGTATGGCCCTGTCCCACCCTCCTTCCCTCTCCTTTAGTTCCTGGCGGGTGCAGGCTCTTCCTGCTCACAGCTTTGCTATGCTCTGCCCTCTGCCTGCAAAGGTCCCTTGCCCCACGTAGCACGGCTGGCATCTACTTATCCTGCAGGTCTCAGCTTAGACATCACCTCCTCAGTCTGAGCAGCCCCCCGGTTCCCTGTGGGACTCTCTGTTGCCATGCCTTGTTAGTTTCTTTCATGTAATTTACGAATAGATACGGTAAGTTCTCATTGTTCACTGTATTATGTTCTAGAAAGCCAGTGATTTAGTGAATAACAACCCATAGCTCCTAGGGGAAATACGCACACAGACACAGCTCACATAGGTTATCATCTTAAATCCTAAAAGCAGCCCATCCTGCTAGGTGCCGTTTTTTTTGTTTTTGTTTTTAATTTTTATTTTACAAAAAAGAATAGGAGGCTCAGAAGTGTCGTGTGACTTGCCTGAGGCTGTCCCAGTGACACGTGCTGGAACTGGGATTCAAACCCTGTCCCACCAGCCCCAGAACTGCAGTTTCTTGCACTACACTGCCCCGTGTAAGGACACCTGTGTCCTCTGGTTGCCTCTGCAGGAGAGCTGAGCAGAAAGGCAGAGCGCGGCCTTGTTCAATCTCAGCCAGCAATGTGCACAATGGGAAATCAAATTTCCCACTGCTCTGGGCACATCCCTGGCTCCACGTGAGTCACATATTATATATGTGTGTATTTCCCCTAGGAGCAAGGGGTTCAGTATCGGCCAATGCAGTGTTCTCAATGACTTTATAGACGATAACTACCATGAATCATGAGAATTGACTGTATTTGTCCATCATCTGTTCTCTCTCACTAAAGCACAAACTCCTGAGGGCAGGGACCTTGTCTGTCTGCTGCGCTGCTGAATTCCTATTACCCAGCCTAGTGCAGGGCACCCATATCGATAGGTACAAGGGAATGAAGGGTGGATGCATTTCTCTCTCATTCATTCCAGACCCTACTCTCTGGGGCTTGCCTGCCCTCTGAGCCATCCTCTCTTGACATTTCAAACCCATCGTGTCCCTCTGGCCCTGGCTTCTGCTTTTCAAATCCCAAAGGGCAGTTCCTAGAATCAGTGCCCTTGGGGCAGCAACATCTCTGGGGAATCACATGAAGAAAGGAAGCGATGTGAGGCCTGGGTTCGTCTGGAGAGGGAGGGCTTGGGGAGCTTGGGTTACTCAGTCTGCCAGGTCTCGTCTGAGCTGTCCAGGGGGTGGCAATGTACTACACTTTATCTAGAAATATCTATTCACTGTAAACTTTGCCTTTCTTAGAAAACAACCCATGATGTTGTGGCATACATGACAGGCTTTGACGCCCACAGCTGCCTACACATTCCTTCCAGGGCACGTGTACTTTTTCCCGCAAGACGTAGGCCCCAGATCTGCGAGGTTTTGGTGCAGAGATCTACCTGTCCCGCATCCACCCTAGAACGCACTTCTGTCTCTAAGTTCCCCAGTAAATCACCTTATACAGACAAACCGGATTTGTCTGCCTTGTTCTTGGGTTTCTCAGCTCCCTCTGCATTTGGTGGTCACTTTGTATATATGAACCTTTCACAGAACACAGGGACCTCATCGGAGTGAGAAGCTGGCTCGGAGGCCTGCTACGGGAAGCCTTGCTCACCTCCAGTGGGGAGGACTTCCAACCACTCAATCCCAAATCTTCCTGTTGCTTCCCACTTTCCATCGAACAAAAACAAACTTCTAAGTTCCTTTGTCTTGGGACCCCAGCCTGTCCAACCTCATTCCACCTCCTCTAAATAAGAGGCTGTATACATAGTAGTGAATTAGAAACCTGGGCTCTTTGGTACCAAAATTATAAAAACAACAAATGAACAAACAAAAGCCTGGGCTCTGGAGCCAGATTCTCAGTTCCAAGTCCAGCTGTGCCACTTGCAAACTGTGTGACCTTGGGCCAGTCACTTAACCTCTCTGTGCCTCCATTTCCTCAACTGTAAAAAGCAGATAATAATAGTACTTTGTTCAGAGGGCTGTGTAAGGATTAAATGTCTATACACAACAATAACTGAGAAAACATTAAAATTTCCTTGTTATCATTGATGGAAAGGAGAGCAAAGAGAAGGAACTTCTGACTTCACTCTGTGGGGAGCAGATCCTGCTAGCTTTTAACCTTTTAAATGGTTCCCATCAGAGCTCTCACACTGAGATGGGCAGGCTGGTTGGTTCCCAATTTTAAGGTGGTCTGGAGGAAAAGAATAAAAGCCCCTCACTCAAGCTCCAGCTTAGCTAGCCCTTAACCAATCAGTAAGAAAAGACCCAAGAAGCTCCTATTTCAGGTAGCTATGGATTCCCTGGAGTCCTGTATGTGCAGTTAGACTTAAACTCCAACTTATAGTCCTTTCCTTATTTTAATGCTAAAAGCCACACCCAGCGGTGGAGATTTCAAGTGCAAATGTTACAGAAGATGTATGAAGAGGCATGTTGAGCCACTGTGCAAGCACTAGAAAAACTGCTCCTATACATGCCCTGTCATAAACATAGCCCTTCCCTACAGGAAGACCCTGTAAAACCAACCCACACGTTGCACTCAGGGAGTAGCCCATTCCTTTTCTTTTCTCAGTGTTGGTTCCCTTGTGCACAAGCTGAAATAAACTTTCCTTTGCTGCTATGTTTAGCGATCTCTCTTGATTTCTATCCTGGGAGATCCAGAGAACCTCGGATTCTAGGAGCAACGCTGGGCCATCCCCGACTCCCTAGGGTTAGAGATCTGCTCCTGCCTGAGGGTGCCCAGCTCTGGACTAAGTTTCCCTTAAGAAGATGGGATCTGGAACATCTAGAAATGGTCAGAATTGGGAAGTTCCTGCTCAGGGGGTGAAAAGATCCTGAACTGTTGAATGAGTAGAACCCACCCACCAGGGACTCCGAGTTTGGGCAGGTCTCAACACTGTGGGACCCCGAACCCAGGTAGGAAGCCTGTCCTGAGACCCCTTGGGCTGAGAGTCGAGGCCTGTGCTGGATTTTAGTTTCCACACACCTGGCAAAGGACAGCCACGCCTTCCATCTTACTGGAGGAAATGGAAATCAACAAATCACCTAAGAGTATTCAGCTCTTGAAATAGCTTGGCTCTAAGTCCCTCCTGGTGCCCGAGGCACCATGGAGAAGTCCTGTTGGTGCGGAGGAAATTCTAGCAGTTAGGGTCGGGCCCTGACCGAGTGGCTTTGTATCCACAAATGACTCTGGGAGGCTTTTCCATAAAATCTTCTCCTAGCGTCAATGAGACTGCAGTTTTGCTGATGAATTTCCTCAGAGACTAAGCCCTTCCTCTGTGGGTGACATTTTTTCTCTGGAGCAGCTGCCGCTGGGGGAAGGAATCAGTTTAGGGGTAGGGCAGCCCATTCCCGAGAGAGGGAGAGGGGCTGGCCCTGTGGTTTGACTTCTGCGCGGGGTGAGGGGTGCCATGAAGGGATACCCAGGGACCGTCCGTCTCTCATCCATATGCTCAGGTGGAGAGGGGCTGGGACATGCTGATAGGACTGAGACGGGGGCTCTTCCCTCCCTGGGTTACTTGATGATCTGTCACCAGGTCCTCTCTGAGGTAATTAACTGAATTTCTTGCCCCACTCCTTTGTGCTTTCTGTACCCCAAACCTTGGTCCACTTCTTGGACAGCATTTTCTACACACAAGGCCTACAGGGAGGGCAGATACCTCCAGAATAAAGAACACAATCAGGAAACGGTGTCTAAAAAGACTCACAGCAGAGAAAATGTTGTTAAAAACCAAAGTCTGCAGAATGAAAATCCTTTTTGGAATTATGTTTGGCTTTGACCAGCAAGAAGAGAGTATAAAGTTGATCCAAGATAATATATGTCCCCTTGGCCGGGTGCGGTGGCTCACACCTGTAATCCCAGCCCTTTGAGAGGCCAAGGCAGGTGGATCACCTGAGGTCAGAAGTTCGAGACCAACCTGGCCAACGTGGTGAAACACCATCTCTACTAAAAATACAAAAATTAGCTGGGCTTGGCAGCGCATGCCTGTAATCTCAGCTACTCAAGAGGCTAAGGCAGGAGAATCGCTTGAACCTGGGAGGTGGAGGTTGCAGTGAGCCGAGATCACACCATTGCACTCCAGCCTGGGCAGCAGAGCAGACTCCATCTCAAAAAAAAAAAAAAAAAAAAAAAATATATATATATATATATATATATATATCCCCACACCACAACCACTTAGAAGAGGAAGGGAAGGAGAAAATCCTGAAAAGAGAATCCTTTATCTCAAAGAAATGGAGAAACATTTTGAAGTGACTGAGTGGTCTTGAAGTGGCAAGATGGTTTTCCACCATTACCAGAAATGGGAACTTAGAACTAAGTTCAGTAATAGTGAAATATTTAGAAATTGCCTTTTGGACCATGGACTCTGTATGCATATGTCTCCAAACCCTCACCAAACCCTTCTCTCTGAGGCACCCAGAACAGGGAGGCACTGGGTCTTCCTAAGGAAATTCTCACAAAGGTGACTCTCAAGAGGTGTTCAGGAGATGAAACCAATAGAATGTGGTGGTTGTGGAGGCTTGACGGCTATTTCACCCATGGAGGAGCAATGGTGCAGTAAGAACATTGTGCCTCCTCTGCAGTCAGGGACCTCATGGACTGGTCCGTCATGGGGCTCTTTCTCTCATTTCCAACACGTGTAACTCTTATACAGGGAGAGAGGAAGTTCACGCAGTCTGTGAGTCACGCTTTGTCCAGCTGCTTCTCCATGGGCAGGAGTGTTAGGGACTCATGACCCAAGCTTACCGGATGTCACTATTTTCATCATAGAAGGTAGCATTGCCTGAGTTGTTGATAAGGGCCCGGATCCACCCTTCTAGACTGTCTTCCAGAATGATGTATGTGAACTTTTTCATTTTCACATATAAGATGAGCATAGCCAGGTTTCCTGATGGATAACTGGGAGAAGGTTAAGGCACAAGCAGTCAGTCCTTGGGGTCCCCTGGAAAAGGTAGGGCCCTACAGATGATGTAGGCCTCAGTCAAACCCCACACCTCGGTCAAACCCCACACCCTGAATCATAGACATTTTAGGTGCCAATATATGTCAATACGAGCATCTCTGTCCTTCTGTGGATACTGTATCTGGCCTGTCCCATCAGGAAAGAGAATTTGATAGACATTCTTGTTGGGGTAGAGAATTAATTTTCCATCACCGTGATGCACCTGGGAAGAAAAGACAAGTCTATGAAAAGTGTGAAAAGTGCATGGGTACCAACTGTCCTACTACAGAGCACGGTGTCGACCCCATCTGCTTGCTCTCCGATGTCCCATGCTACCTCCCCAACTTGCTAGGCAGCTGCGGGGCTTCAGTTTACTTGTCTATACAATGAGGAGGCTGAACTGGATCTGTGTGTACGTGTGTGTGTGTGTGTGTGTGTGTAGATTTTAAACTGTCATTTCAATCACCCCAATGGTTATTGATTGTATTAGTTTCCCAGGGATGCTGGAACAAAGTCTCACAAACTGGGTAGCTTAAAATGACAGAAATTTAATCTCAGTGTTGTGGTGCTGGAAGTCTGAAATCAAAGGGTCCCCAGGGTTGGTTCTTTCTAGAGGCTTTGAGGAAGAATCTCTTTTTTTTTTTTTTTTGAGACGGAGTCTCGCTGTGTCTCCCAGGCTGGAGTGCAGTGGCGAGATCTCGGCTCACTGCAAGCTCCGCCTCCCGGGTTCACGCCATTCTCCCGCCTCAGCCTCCCAAGTAGCTGAGACTACAGGCGCCCGCCACCACGCCCGGCTAGTTTTTTGTATTTTTAGTAGAGACCCGCCTCGGCCTCCCAAAGTGCTGGGATTACAGGCTTGAGCCACCGCGCCCGGCCGAGGAAGAATCTCTTCCATGCTTTTCTCTTGGCTTTTGATGCCAGACAGAGATCCTTGACGTTCCCTGGCTTGTGATGCATCACCCCAATCTCCGCCTCTATCTTCATGGGGTGCTCTCTGTATCTTCACATGGCCGTCCTCTTAGGAGGACGCCATATTGGATTAGGGGCACACCCTACTTCAAGAAGACCTCATCTTCACTAATTACATCTGCAAAGACTATTTCCAGATAAGGTCACATTCTGAAGCACTGGGGGTTAGAACTCTGACATGGCTCTTTCGAGGGAACACAGCTCAACTCATGACATTGGTATACTCAAGTTTTTAATTTCTTCTTCAATCCGTTTTTGCAAACTGTTTTTCTAGAAAATTGTTCATTTTACATAAACATTCAAATTTATTGTCATAAAAATTTTAAGTTTATACTGTTCTAAAGAAACCTCTGCTGTCTTTGTGGTTATGTCCCTGTTTTCATTCTCTATCTTATTTACACCTTCTGAATCAATCTTGTCAGAAAATTTGCCTATTTTATTAATCTTTTCAAAGGACCAAGTTTTGGTTTGTTTATTATTTCTTTGTTTTCTATTTTATCGATTTCTGCTCATATCATTATCATTTATATCCTCTACTTTCTGTGGGGTTTCTATGTTATTCTATTTTATTTTTCTAATTCCTGGAATTGAATGCTAAACTCTTCTGCTTTTGTCTTTCTTCTTCTTCAAGATCTTCCTCCTACTCCTCCTGCACATCCTCCTCCTCCTCCTTCATAAGAGAAAGCATTTAAAAGAAAGCCCCCGACACCTAGTATTCCCAGGCAGTCTTCCATCCGAGTAGTAACCAGGCTCAACTCTGCTTAACTTCTGAGATTAGACAAGATTGAAAGCATTCAGGGGAATATGGCTGTAGATTTTTAAAATATGTGTTTAAAGCTGTTATGGTTTGAATGTGTCCCCTCAAAAACATGTGTTGGAAATTGAATCCCCAGTGCAATAGTGTTGGGAGATGCGGCCTAATGGGAGGTATTTAGGTCATGGGGGCACTAACCTCATCAGTAGATTAATATCAGTTATAAAAGGGCTTGAGGCTACGAGTTTGATCTCTTGCTCTCATTCTCTCTCTTGCCCTCATTTTGCCTTTCCCCCATGGGATGATGAAACAAGAACCCCCTTGCTACGTGTGACCCCTCCATCTTGGACTTTCCAGCCTTCAGAACCAATAAATTTTTGTTCGTTGTAAACTACCCAGTCTGTGGTTCCCTGTTATAGCAGCACAAAACAGACTCAGAAAAAAGCTGTAACATTCCCCTCAATTTACTGTTCAGCTGTTTCCCATGAATGTAGTTATTTACCTTTCATTTTACTCCATTCTAAATATTTTCAGATTTGGCACACAAGTTATTTACAAGGGTGTTCTTAAATTTGCCAATGTATAAAGGACTTTTGGTTGTGTTATTACTATTCTTGATTAAAATGCACTGGGGCAAGAGAACATAGCCTATACAGTATCCACTCTTTTGTGTTTGCTGAGATTTGTTTTGTGACCTGGCATGTGATCAATTATAATAGATGTTTTGCATGTGCTTGGAAAGGATGTGTGTCCTCTAATTGTCCCCCGTCCCCATGTTGGTGGATTGTCAAGACCCATTGTTCCCCTGCTTCCTCAGCACACACACCTGGCTCACATACTCTTCTGGTTTTGTAGCTTTCTCTTTATTTCTGGTATTGGCTATTTCCTTACTTTCTTACATTCTCTGTTCTGCATTGAAAAGGATGCTTCTTCTGTTTTATTTCAATTCCCAGGTGTCTGCAGCAGGAAGGCTTTGCAGACCATCTAGTACCTCACATTAACCTAACTCGAAGCCAGATCAGTGATTTTCAAGCCATTTTAAAGTTTTTTTTGAAGAAACAATAGTTTATTTTTCTAATCAAGTGACACAGCTACTTAATCTTAAGGCCTCAACAAATGTTGCCTCTTATTGTCATTGAACAACAACGCCTTCTATTTTGATATTCCAGGGAAATAGAGATTTCGTTTCTCCAGTAGTTTCCATTTGCCAAACAATCATAAGTGATGGTTTAACATAGTGGCTACTGTTTTCAGGAGATTCCATCAGATGAGTCCTCATTTCTTGTGCAATAACTATTGGAAATTTTTTATTAAAAGTTCATCCATCAGGACTTCTCTATTGCGGTTGGCCATGGAGTTCTGTCTGGCTGCTGAATGATATTCCTGAAATCTCATGGATATTCTTTGCATTATTTAAAAATATTCTGTAAGCAATCCTCTGAGCAGGTAGTCTCTTCGGGTTTTAGTTCTCTTGTTGTGAAGTCTTTAACTCAGTTAAAAAAGCAGTTTTCTGGAAATTTCTTGTAGTTGTAAGACATTCCTTAAACTGTTTTATCTGATCAGATTCTGGTATTTGTGCAACCGTATTTTTTTAGTATGTTTATTAGTCACCGTTTTTGACACATGAGTTTCCTTTCTGTTCTGGAAAAGCAGTTGTCCAATCTTTGCTTGAATGTCTCCAGTGAGACCTGATTTGTTAGATAAGTGCTGACTCTCCCTTCTGACATCAGTATGAAGCTGGGGACCGCATTGCCAGTTAAATCTAGAGGTGGAGGATTGGGGTCATGATGGGCGCTGTGGTCACTGGATGGGCTCAAATTATTATTGTAAAAGTTGAATAATTCTTTGTCCAAAGAAAGCTTATAGCAGAATGTAAAATTTAAGGTGATAAGAGACAGATGCAGTTCTGTTTGAGAGAAAGCTGTGTGTTAGTTTTCACCTAGACATCAGGTAGGAAGCACTCCTCAAGGTGACAATGATCATATAGCCAACATACAGTGGCTGTTTCCTTATGCAGAGCACTGCACTAAATACCTTAATTCCACAGTATACTGACCTCACAAAATATGCACTACCATTTATTCCTGTTTAAGAGAGGCTAAATGACTTACACAAAGTTATCTAGTGAGAAGAGAGCCAGGCTCCAGCAATCTGACCCCCAAGATTCAGATTTATCCCTGACGCTGCCTCTAACCATTAAGCTCCCAGTCACCTGGGACATTTAGTCTACAAAGCACTGCTTTTTTCTTTAAACCTAAAAAAAAGCCCTTAAAAATTTTTTTCTTTCTTTAATTGATAATTAAAAATTGTATATATTTATGTTGTACAACATGATGCTTTGATATATGTATACCTTGTGATTGGCTAAGTCAAGCTATTTAACATATGCATTACCTCACATATGTTTTGTTATGGTGAGAAAACTTAAAATCTACTCTCTTAGCAATTTTCAGGTATGCAATATATTGATATATATCAATATATATCAATATCTATATAATATATAATATATAGATATTACATATAATATATATCAATATATAGTATTAGCTTTAGTCCCCATGATGTACAATAGACCTCTTAAACTTATTCCTCCTGTCTAGTGGAAATTTTGTATCCTTTGATCAACACCTCCCTATTTCCCTACTCCTCAGCTCCTGGTCACTCTGTTTCTATGAGTTTGATGTTTTTAGGTTCCACACATAAGTGATGTCATAAAGTATTTGACTTTCTGTGCCTGGCTTATTTCTCTCAGCATAATCTCTTCCAGGTTCATCCATGTTTTCACAAATGACAGGATTTCCCTCTTTTTAAAGGCTGAATAGTATTCCATTGGGTATATAGACCACATTTTCCTTTTTCATCCATCTGTTGATGGAGACTTGGTTTAAAAAGTGCTTTGTATTATACCCACAGTTGGTTTGCCTGGTGACCTGTTGGAAATGTCCAGATACTTTTCATGGGTAGCGGGTATTTGTCACTTAGGTCTTATTTTCAAAAGCCACCCAAAAGCCAGAATTTCTTGAGATGCTTTCTGTTTGTTGAATTCACTTGTCATGTAATGAAATTTTTCTGATGATAAGAACCCCATAGACAAAGCAAAATCTCTTACACAGAGCTGGAGTTGGCACATGTTCTCTCACGGGGAAATATATAACAAAAGGCATGTCTAAGTGTCTGAAGTTCATCAGCATTTGCTTGAAGACAATAGGATGCAAAAGCTTAAAGTGCAGAGTGAAAAGACCACATCTCTGGCCTTTCCTGCAGTCCTGCAGGTGGGACCCCGAGCTGTGCCAGAGCTGTTCAGCGAGCTCGCCATGGTTGCTGCGAGGCCCTGGGTCCTGGGCTGGAGTGGTTGGATTTGGCCTGCACACCAGCACACACAGAAGGTGCTGCACTCAGCAAACAGCTTGGGATTTATTGCCTGTTTGTAAAACAAACAAACAAACCAAACCAAACCAAATGTGCCACTCCCTGCCATACCCCATGGGTGCTTGGTGCAGCCTACCATGAATGGTAGGTGAGAAAGGATCCTCTGCTTAGAGATCTTGGTGAGAATCTTCCTCTTGGCTGCAGGGAGGACATTTTAGATGTTAGTGGGGAGGGGGTGCCATGGAGGGTAGATGGTTCCAGAGCTGGCAAAGATCTGAGGCAGGGTAGGGCCTGGAGTGTGGAAGTACACGGAGTTATATAGCCTAATTGGAAAAATAAGCCAAGTAAGGTTTCTTTGATCTATTAGAAGACATGAGGCCAGGGATAGGAGGAAGCTGAAGCCTTTATACGAGGGCTTCCAACACCCTTACCATTGTCTGCTACCACCTGGAGAGTCCCTTTCTCCTGTCCATAGGAGTTCTGACTGGTCCCACAGACTTCCCTTCTCAATGGAGGCCCAAGAGTTGAAGGAATACCAAACTTCTCATTCCTTGTCTGGAGGCCAGAAAGGTCCATACCTTGGTTTTAACCGTATTTGTTTCCTACTCTCTTCCACTTTTGCCACAGTTGGGGCCACACTCACGATGTAAAGCTGTCCTATTGCTTTTCCTCTTAGTGCAAGCTGTTCCATTTCCCAGCTCTCTTGCAGCTAGCCGGGGTCATGGGACCCATTCTGGTCAACGAAATTTAAGGATTTTTTTTCTAGTTCTGTGAAGAATGATGGTGGTATTTTGATGGGAATTGCACTGAATTTGTAGATTGCTTTTGGCAGTATGGTCATTTTCACAATATTGATTTTACCCGTCCCTGTGCATGGGATGTGTTTCTATTTGTTTGTGTTGTCTATGATTTCTTACAGCAGTGTTTTGTAGTTTTCCTTGTAGAGATCTTTTACCTCCTTGGTCAGGTATATTCCTACGTATTTTTATTTTATTTTTTGCAGCTATTGTAAAAATAGTTGAGATCTTGATTTGATTCTCAGCTTGGTCACTGTTGGTGTAGAGGAGAGCTATTGATTTGTGTACATTAGTTTCGTATCTGGAAACTTTGCTGAATTATTTTATCAGTTCTAGGAGCTTTCTGGAGGAGTCCTTAGGGTTTTCTAGGCATACAATCGTATCATCAGCAAACAGTGATAGTTTGACTTCCTCTTTACCAATTTGGGTGCCCTTTCTTTCTCTCGCCTGATTGCTTTGGCTAGGCCTTCCAGTACTATGTTGAAGAGGAGTGATGAGAGTGGGCATCCTTGTCTTGTTCCAGTTCTCAGAGGGAATGCTTTCAACTTTTCCCCATTCAGTATTATGTTGACTGTGGGTTTGTCATAGATGGCTTTTATCATATTGAGGTATGTCCCTGGTATGCCGATTTTGCTGAGAGTTTTAATTATAAAGGGATTCTGGATTTTGTTGAGTGCTTTTTCTGTGTCTATTGAGATGATCATGTGATTGTTGTTTTTAATTCATTTATGTTGTGAATCACATTTATTGATGTGGGTATGGTAAACCATTCCTGCATCCTTGGTATGAAACCCACTTGATCATGGTGGATTATCTTTTTGATATGTTGTTGGATTTGGTTAGTTAATATTTTGTTAAGGATTTTTACATCTATGTTCACCAGGGATATTGGTCTGTAGTTTTCTTTTTTTGGTATGTCCTTTCCTGGTTTTGGTATTAGGGTGACACTGGCTTCACAGAATGATTAAGGGAGGATTCCCTCTTTTTCTCCATGTGGAATAGTGTCAGTAGGATTGGTACCAACTCTTCTTTGAATGTCTGGTAGAATGTTTTTGTTGGTAATTTTTAAAATTATCATTTCAATCTCACTGCTCGTTATTGGTCTGTTCAGGGTATCTAATTCTTCCTGATTTAAGCTAGGAGGATTGTATATTTCCAGGAATTTGTCTGTCTCCTCTAGGTCTTCTAGTTTATGCATGTAAAGGTGTTCATAGTAGCCTTGAATGATCTGTATTTCTGTGGTGTCAGTTGCAATATCTCCCCTTTTGTTTCTAATTGAATTTATTTGGATTTTCTCTCTTCTTTTCTTGGTTAATCTTGCTGATGGTCTATCAATTTTATTTATCTTTTCAAAGAACCAAATTTTTGTTTCATTTTTCTTTTTTCTTTTTGTTTGTTTCAATTTCATTCAGTTCTGCTCTGATCTTGGTTATTTCTTTTCTTCTGCTTGGTTTGAGTTTGGTGTGTTCTTGCTTCTCTAGTTCCTTGAGGTGTGACCTTAGATTGTCTATTTGTGCTCTTTCAGACTTTTTGATGTAGGCATTTAGGGCTACAAACTTTCCTCTTAGCTGCCTTTGCTGTATCCCAGAGGTTTTGATAGGTTGTGTCACTGTTGTCGTTCAGTTCTAAAAATTTTTAAATTTCCATCATGATTTCATTGTTGACCCAATAATCATTCAGGAGCAGGTTATTTAATTTCCATGTATTTGCATGGTTTTGAGTATTCCTTTTGGAGTTGATTTCCAGTTTTATTCCACTGTGGTCTGAAAGAGTGCTTATATAATTTCAATTTTCTTAAATTTATTGAGACTTGTTTTGTGGCCTATCACATGGTCTATCTTGGAGAAAGTTCCATGTGCTGATGAATAGAAAGTATATTCCGCAGTTGTTGGGTAGAATGTTCTGTAAATATCTGTAAGTCCATTTGTTCCAAGGTATGGTTTAAATCCATTGTTTCTTTGTTGACTTTTTGTCTTGATGACCTGTCTAGTGCTGTCAGTGGAGTATTGAAGCCCCCACTATTATTGTGTTGGTGTCTATCTCATTTCTTAGGTCCAGTAGTAATTGTTTGATACATTTGGGAGCTCCAATGTTAGCTGCATATATATTTAGGATTGTGATATTTTCCTGTTGGACAAGGCCTTTTATCATTATATAATCTTCCTCTTTGTCTTTCTAAACTGCTATTGCTTTAAAGTTTGTTTTGTCTGACATAAGAATAGCTACTCCTGCTCGCTTTTGGTGTTCATTTGCATGGAATGAATGACTCTAATATTTTGAGACCAGTTTTCACTCAGATCTTTGTATAACAGTATCAGTCTTTATAAATACTACCATGTGATAGATTTTTTTATAGGCTTCATTTTTTAGAGCAGGTCATGGAAAAATTGAGTGGAAAGTACAGTTTCCCATATATGCACAGCCTCCCCAACCATCAACACCACCCCCACCAGAGAGTGGTACATTTGTTATAGTTGGTGAACCTACACTGACACACCATTATCACCCACAGCCCAGAGTTTACACTAGGGTTCTCTCTTGATGTTGCACATTCTGTGGATTTGGACAAATGTACAATGACGTGTATCCAACATTGTGGAATCATACGGAAGAGTTTAACTGCCCTAAAACTCCCGAGTTTCACCTTTTCATCCTTTCTTGCCCCCATCCCCTAGCAACCGCTGATCTTTTTACTGTCTCCATAGCTTTGTCTTTTCCAGAATGTCATATAGTAGGTATCATAATATGTAACCTTTTCAGATTGGTTTCTTTCACCTGGTAAAATGTGTTTAAGTTCCCTCCATGTCTTTTCATGGCTTAATAGCTCATTTCTTTTTAGTGCTGAATAATATTTAATTGTATGAATGTACCACAGCTGATTTATCCATTCACTGTGTGATTGATTTTTGATATGGATTCTAATTTGTTAGGGGGATGGATCTATATATTTTTCTTTTTAGAGGCAGGGTCTTGCTATGTTGCCTAGGCTACTAGGGTACAGTGGCTATTTACAGGTGTGATCATAGCACACAGCAGCCTCAAACTCCTGGGCTCAAGTGATCCCCCTTCTCACCCTCCTAAGCAGCTGGGACTACAGATGTATGCCGCAGTGTCTGGCTGGGGCCTATATAATATACATTTCCTTTATTCTACCCTCAAACCCATTCAATTGCCTAATAGAGACCCTGCAGGCAGAAGACTCTCAATAAATCCTAGTAAAATTCCTAGTCAGTCTGCCAACAACCTACATACTCAGGTGTACTTCTGATATCTTGGATGCATTTTTGTGTTTACATTGTGTGTTGTTCCTTACAAGTCTCTGATGGTGTGTGCACACCTCACCGGAGCCAAAAAAATCCTGTGCAAAGTGAAAAACAGCAATGTACTGCCCCTCTTACCACTGTCTTCTTCTGTATCCATTCCTTATCTCGTTCTAATTTCTTCCTACGACGAACAACACGTTGAGGCTTTTGGACTTTTTTTGTCTCATGCTTCTCAGGTGTTGGTTCGGTCATTAAACGAAATGTGAAAGTGGTCATCTCTGTTACCTTTTGAGCTGCCATTCAATTCAATGATTGCATCGAATAAGATTTTGGTGGGAAAGAGAAAGGAAACTTAGATCTGTCTCTCTCAAGGTGTCAAAGGGAGTTTGAGGGTTTGGGAGATCTGCCATTTTTCCCCAGTAAGGAAGGCTGTCGGGTAGTGGGAAGATTAAGGCCTTTGAAGAGAGAAATGTTGGGGCTGACATTCCAGCTCACTCTGTTTGGTCACACATTCACTCAACATGTACTTATCAAGTGCCTAGTGCATGTCAGCCCAGTGCTGGATGCCTGATATGGCAGTGACAGTCAACCTGTACAAATGTGGGGGTATGAGTGGGTGACGCAGTCATATGCCAACTACAACGTGATGAGAGGAGCACTCACCCAGCGAATGGTGTGGCTGCTAATTGAAAAAACAGGTGAAAGTCAGGAAGTCATCAAAAAAAGGTAAAACGGAAATGTATATTAACATGTCATTTCAAAGGTAAGACAAAGTACAGGTCTGATGAATGGGCTCTGTGATCATTTTTGCTCAAATCACACCAATAATTGATTGACTGAGACAGAATGTTGCTCTGTTGCCCAGGCTGGAGTGCAGTGGCAAGATCTTGGCTCGCTGCAACCTCTGCCTCCTGGGTTCAAGCAATTCTTGTGCCTCAGCTGGGATTGCAGGTGTGTGCCACTACACCTGGCTAATGTAGAGATGAGGTTTTGCCATGTTGGCCAGGCTGGTCTCAAACTCCTGGCCTCAAAGGATTATCCTGTCTCAGCTGCCCAAAGTGTTGGGATTATGGGCATGAGGTACCACACCTGGCTGAGTTTTTTTTTTTTTTTTAGATGGAGTCTCGCTCTGTTCCCCAGGCTGGAGTGCAGTGGCCTGATCTCTGCTCACTGCAAGCTCCGCCTCCCGGGTTCATGCCATTCTCCTGCCTCAGTCTCCCAAATAGCTGGGACTACAGGCGCCCGCCACCACGCCTGACTAATTTTTTGTATTTTCAGTAGAGACGGGGTTTCACCGTGTTAGCCAGGATGGTCTCGATCTCCTGACCTCGTGATCCGCCCGCCTCAGCCTCCCAAAGTGCTGCGATTACAAGTGTGAGCCACCGCGCCCGGCTGAGTTTTGTTTTTTAAAGCATTCAACTTAGTTTTCATTTCTTAGCAACAAGTTTCTTTTTATATTCCTTTTGTCCATTTTTATGACAATTGAATTTTGGAACTAAACTAGTAAGAATAACTGAAAAACAAACCTAGTGTCTTTTGACAAGTGCTCAACACAACAGTGGGAGCTGAGTGGTTGGAACTGTGGTGAGGGGCTTCTAGCTGTGTTATCAGCCAACATGTTCTTGGTGGGAGTGAGGATCCCCAGCTCACTGCTTAACGGGGAGGTCAGTTAGGAGAGTGCTGTGTGTCCCGCCATTGAGGTCAATACAGGCTTCCATGAGAGCTCATGGGAGGGAACTTAACCAGGCTTTGAAGCTGAGAAGATTTCCACCTCCAGTGGAAGGTAAATCTGTAGAATGCAACGGAGGAATCTCAGCATAAGCACTGTATGGTTGGAAGCTGGAGTGGGGATGGGTTAGTGGTGACACAGGATTCAGGAGAGGCAGGCAGGGCCCGCAGCAGCTATTCCTTAAGAGTGAGGTCAGGGGCATGAATTGGTACTGGGGTAAAAGTACTCTATTGAGAGGGAATCAGGCTGAGACAAGGCTCAGCAAGAAAAAGTACCATGATTGATTAGCTACGTCTCCCATGAATATGGCTGTCATTTTCGTGTTAATTGGGTCCAGTCACCTGGAAGATATTCCATGTTGTAGTTTTGAATGAAGATAGCTTAGTCCCTTCACTGAAGCCTTCCATGATTAGATCCATGAAGCTGATAACTTCCATGATTTGCAAATCTTAATAACTGCACACCAAATGCCTTTAGTCTCTTGGTAAAGGAGCTATTTGTTTTCCAATTTTTGCACTAATATTCCTTTCCTGGAGTACCCCACTCCCCCAAATATGTGTTAGATCCCTTACTGTGTGGTCCCACAGTGTCCCCTTCCCATCATAGGGCCTAACCATTCTATATGGTAATTCCCTACTTTCTTGTCTATCCTTCCAAGAATAGACCAATGAAGCCTGAGAAGCTCACTCTTTCTGGAGCATTCTCTTTCAAAGGAGCTCTGACCTGAGAACCAGAAAACACAGCTGCCCTGGAGAGCATCCTTTTTGGGAAGTAAGACAGTCCACACCACTGAAATGCCAAGGTGACTCGCTCTGTGTTCGGATCCCCCACCTGCCCCTGCCACCAAGAGAGAAACTCACTGGGGCCCTAGACTCTGTCTGTCATGCTCAGTATTTCATCCCTGGCAGCCAGGACCACATTAGCCCTGTGGGCACTGAAGTGAGTGAATGAGCCCTTCCACCTTCTTTACAGTACAGCAGAAGGGGAGAGGTGTTGGGATGCAGACAGGAGAGCCAGCACCTGGTGGAAAATGGTGGCGTGGTGCCTACCTTCACGTCTCCTCTTAATCCATAAGATTGTTTCCTTGAACTTTTCGTAATTTTTCTTCAACCTAAAAGTAAAGTGCATCATCTTTAAAAGCCAAGACTAAATTCACATATACACGCCATTACACACAGTGCAAACAGTACTGAAATCTGTGGAGTCTCTTGCGCAGGTGGAAATGGGGACAATGGCTTTGCTTTCTAGGCCAGTTTTCTTTGAGTCAATGCCCAGGAGCAAAGGGATGGTGCCTGATATCCACTTAGTGCTTCCCTTGTGGTCTGACCCACACCCAGAGCATGAGGCTGAACCCTGAACCCTTCAAAACAAATTCAACGAGGGGAACCTTGGGGGCCGCTGACAGGGCAGGAAGGTCCAAATGCAAGTATGGCCCTGTGAGTTAACTCACACAGCTGGATTTGATTTTCTGCAGCTTGTCTGTATTCCAGTGAAACCCAGAACCATCTGAAACCCCTTTGCATTAGTAGGACACTTTCAAATAGCCTTACTCAAAAGGACTTATCATGAAAGCCACACAAGTCACAGCTCTTCAATGTGATCAAGCCCTTTTCTCCCTCTCATGTCAACACACAGAGTGAGTCATCCTGGCATTTCAGTGGCTTGGACTGTTTTCCTTCCAAATAAGGGTGCTCTCCAGGGCAGCTGTGTTTTCTAGTTCTTAGATCAGAGTCCCTTTGAAAGGGAATGTGCCAGAAGGACTGAGCTTCCCAGGCTTAATTGGATCTGAAAAGGAGGCCTTTGCCATTGCAGATTTTAAATCCTTAGATCAGTTTCCTTGAAGAGGGCATACTAATTTAGCCCAGAGTAACTCCAGGAAGCAAATATCCTTTGCTGGAAAGGGCTGCACTGTTACCTAGCACAGAGCAATAGTTCCCTTATTCGTACCCTAGAAGCAATAGGGAAATTTGAGAATGAGTCCATGGCCCATTTGTACCAAATGTTATTCATTTATAATGCAAGGACTTTTAATGGAATTGAAGTAGTTACCTAGCCTATTGGCATCTGTGAAAAAATAAGGACCAAGAAATGGGTGGAGTGGGGGCCTATCCTTTAGGCTCAGAACAAGATTCCAAACACAGATAAGAGTTAAACTCCAGTGAGGGGATCTAGCCAGAGGCACCCAAATCCCTTTTGGGAAGACTGGCTGTTCCTCTCTTGTTTTTTTGCCCACCTTTCCAAGCGAGTGGAATCCCCATCAGCTGGCTCTTCAATACCAGAGACTGGGGTACACTCTACTGTATCCCTAGGGCCTAGATTAGCACATAATAGGTGCACATGAAGTATCTGTTGAAAGCAATCAGGTTAGAATCAGCCTTTGACACAGGCGTAAATGGGAAGAGAGGGAGGAAATGGCACAGAGGCAGTGGGATAATGTGTAGAGATATTATTTGGTGTTTGTTTTTGCTGATCCAAAAGCTTGGGAGTTCTTTGTGTTTTTGCCTTCCCATTTCCCAGAGAAGCCTTGGGGATCTCTTGCCCCAGGTCTCTACTGAGTCCATAGTGGAAGTTGCTGGTAGTCAATCTCTTCCTGACTTTTGTGAACACCTGAACTTGCCCACGTGATAGGTAGGGCACCTTGTTTCACACAGCCTGTCCCTGGTGCCACTGCTGGACAGTCTGCAACAGACCCATGGGGGCACAAACACATACCTGGCTCTCCAGGTTTCTGACAGTGGATAAAGGAAAGAGCAGGCTTCCATGCTGAGAGCATGCCTGCACCACAGGCTGGGTGTATGTATGACATAGTTTGGCTGTGTCCCCACCCAAATCTTATCTTGAATTCCTATGTGTGGAGAAAGGAACCCAGTGGGAGGTAACTGAACCATGGGGGCATCTTTTCTATGCTGTTCTTGTGATAGTGAAAAAGTCTCATGAGATCTGACTGTTATTGAATTTCCCTGTACAAGCTCTCTTCTCTTGTCTGCCACCATGTGAGATGTGCTTTTCACTTTCCACCATGATTCTGAGCCCTCCCCAGCCATGTGGAACTGTAAGTCCATTAAATCTCTTTCTTTTGTAAATTACCCAGTCTTGGGCATGTCTTTATCAGCAGTGTGAAAACAGACTAATACAGTAAATTGGTACCAGTAGAGTGGGGTGCTGCTCAAAGATACCTGAAAATGTGGAAGTGACTTTGGAACTAGGTAACAGGCAGGAGTTGGAACAGTTTGGAGGCCTCAGAAGAAGACAGGAAAATGTGGGAAAGTTTGGAACTTCCTAGAGACTTGTCGAATGACTTTGCCCACAATGCTGACAAAAAAGTCCAGGCTGAGGTGGTCTCAGATGGAAATGAGGAACTTGTTGGGAACTGGAGCAAAGGTGACCCTTTTATGTTTTAGCAAAGATATTGGCAGCGTTTTGCCTGTGCCCTAGAGATCTGTGAAACTTTGAACTTGAGGGGGATGATTTAGGGTAGCTGGTGGAAGAAATTTCTAAGAAGCAAAGCTCAAGAGGTGACTTAGGTGCTGTTAAAGGCATTCAGTTTACTAAGGGAAGCAGATCATAAAAGTTCAGAAAATTTGCAGCCTGACAAATTCTATTTTCAGAAATTCTATTTTCTGAGAAGAAATTCAAGCCAGCTGCAGAAATTTGCATAAGTAACAAGAAGCCGAATGTTAATCCCCAAGACAATGGGGAAAATGTCTCCAGGGTGTCAGAGGTCTTCACAGCAGCCCCTCTCATCACAGGCCTGAAGGCCTAGGAGGAAAAAATGGTTTCATGGGCCAGGCCCAGGGTCCCCATGTTGTGTGCAGCCTAGGGACTTGGTGCCTTGCATACCAGCTGCTTCAGCCATGGCTGAAAGGGGCCAACATAGAGCTTGGGCCGTGGCTTCAGAGGGTGCAAACCCCAAGCCTGGACAGCTACCACATGGTGTTGAGCCTGTGAGTGCACAGAAGTGAAGAATTGGGGTTTGGGAACCTCTGCCTAGATTTCAGAGGATGTATGGAAACTTCTGGATGCCTAGGCAGAAGTTTGCTATAGGGCTGGGGTCCTTATGGAGAATCTCTGCTAGTGCGGTGCAGATGGAAAATGTGGGGTCAGATCCTCCACACAGAGTCCCTAATGGGGCACCACCTAGTGGAGCACTACTGACAGCTTGCACTGTGCATTTGGAAAAGCCTCCGACACTCAATGCCAGCCCGTAAAAGCAGCTGGGAGGGAGGCTATACCCTGCAAAGTCACAGGGGCAGAGTTGCCCAAGACCATGGGAACCCACCTCTTCCATTAGTGTGACCTGCATGTGAGACATGGAGCTAAAGGAGATTATTTTGGAACTTTAAGGTTTAATGACTGCCCTATTGGATTTTGAACTTGCATGGGGCCTGTAGCCCCTTCATTTTGGCCAATTTCTCCCAGTTAGAACAGCTGTATTTATCCAATGCCTGTACCCCCATTGTATCTAGGAAGTAACTAACTTGCTTTTGATTTTACAGGCTCATAGGCAGAAGGGACTTGCCTTATCTCAGATGAGACTTTGGACTGTAAACTTTTGAGTTAATGCTGAAATGAGTTAAGACTTTGGGGGACTGTTGGGAATGCATGATTGGTTTTTGAAATGTGAGGATATGAGATTGAGAGGGGCTGGTAGTGGGATGATATGGTTTGGCTGTGTTCCCACCCAAATCTCATCTTGAATTCCCATGTGTTGTGAGAGGGACCCAGTGGGAGGTAATTGAATCATGGGGACAGGCCTTTCCCATTCTGTTCTCATAATAGTAAGTCAGTCTCATGAGATCTGATGGTTATCATAAGGGGCAGTTTCCCTGAAAAAGCTGTCTTCACTTGTCTGCCACCATGTAAGATGTGCCTTTCACCTTCTGCCATGATTGTGAGGCCTCTTCAGTCACATGAAACTGTAAGTCCATTAAATATCTTTCTTTTGTAAATTGCCCAATCTTGGGTCTTTATCAGCAGCATGAAAATGAACTAATACAGTGTACAAATGGCTGGAACATTTTGTGACCTGGGGCCTTGCCAGCTAGAAAGACCTGGTGCCAGTGACACAGGTCTACAATAACCTTAAAGGGGCCCTGGCCGTAACCCCAGGTTAGTGAAGCTCAAGGCTCTCCCTCCTTCAAGATGCATGGAAAAACATTAGCTCAGCTAGTGTGAAGCCAGGGAATTTGGTGGGTGGTTGCCCCAGGTGACTCCCCGATGTCTTCTCCTTAAGTGCCAGGGGTCTGAACTTTGTTTCCTAGACTTTTGTACAAATTCATGGTCCCTGCAAGCCTTTTCTTGCCCTGAATATCCAGCCTCTGTCACCATCTGCCTTGATCTTATCCTGTACCTCCCATGCTTGCAATGTCCTTGCTCTTGAGTTTGATTTTGGTCTAGCAGCTGGATCATTCTGCACATTTGACCCCTGGATCTTACCCTTTCCCTGTGGTTGACCTGTTCCTGGTCCTTGACTCAGGGAACCTGTCTGGTCCTGACTTTGCTCTTTTCGTTGATGGCTCAATTTACATTTTCCCTGCTGCCACCTCTGGCATACCCAAATCCACTGACCAATCACTTGGCCTTACCAGTTACTTACATAATTAACAGTTTCCATCTGTTTTCACTTTCCAGTAGCCTAGTTAGGGGAATGTCAAAATCCTCTTCCAGTTCATCGCGAGCAGCCATTTCTTTGATTATTGTTTTAAATACTGTCTGATAGGAGCTGTTCAAAAACTATAAAAGGATCAAAGAATGAAATATTCGGAAAAAGGAAATTAACGATTTATTAGTTAATCACTTTTCTGACTCCCAAAGGTACTGTGTGACACTTCAACATATTATTCTAAAAACACAAAAATAGGAACCAGGGGAAGGGGGAGGGAGGGCAACAGAAAGGATAGCTAATGGCTGCTGGGCTTAATACCTAGGTGATGGGCTGATCTGTGCAGCAAACCACCATGGCACACGTTTACCTATGTAACAAACTTGCACATCCTGCACCCTGAATTTAAAAGTTGAAGATAAAAAAACAAAAGGAAAAAGAAAACAGGACCCATAGGATGGTTAGCAAGAATTCTTTTAAAGAGTATTTCCATTATCATACCCTCTTCTTGTTCCTCAATTTCCTTAAAAATTTTTTTAAACATCAGTATGCCAAAAAATCCTTGGAGAACATACAATTATCTTCTTTTTCCAAATGTGGAGATGGCTATGGAATGTAAAAATGCTTCCATGCTTTAAGAGCATAACAGGTTTTCTGCATTCTACAAATGGCCAAGCTCCCAGTGGTGATTTATTTATTCAATGTGAAGGATGAGTCTTCAGAAAAGTAGCATAGTGCCTCGTGCATCACTGCATTAGGCAGTTTTGCTTTTAAAGATTCTTCCAAAGTAATGACATTACAAGCTGCCTTTTTTTTTTTTTTTTTTTTTTTTAAGATGGAGTTTCAGTCTGTCGCCTAGGCTGGAGTGCAGTGGCACAATCTAGGCTCACTGCAACCTCCGCCTCCTGGGTTCAAGTGATTCTCATGCCTCAGCCTCCTGAATAGCTGGGATCACAGGCGTGTGCCACCATGCCCAGCTAATTTTTGTATCTTTAGTAGAGATGGGATTTCACCATGTTGGCCAGGCTGGTCTTGAACTCCTGGCCTCAAGTGATCTGCCTGCCTCCGTCTCCCAAAGTGCTGGGACTACAGGTGTGTGCCACAGCACTTGTCCACAAGCTGCCTTTTTATTTGACCAGTTGGATCATTCTTTCCCATGTCTGTGCTGCTGACCAGGATCGACCCATAGGTGGGTCCTCACCGGAGTTTCTGTTTTGGATCTCTTTTGATGGAAAGTGAAGCAGGCTCCTTAGAGAGGACAGCCAGGGATTGGTCATGTTGCCTATTTGCTCACCAACAGGCTGAGATTGCTGTTGTTCAATGTGTGATCATGGAGAATATACCATTAACTCACTAGCTTCCTACAGCAAGTGAAAGACCAACATACCCGAAGTTGCACATGATCTGGGACAGATGCAAGGATATGGCTTATGGCTGGCCAGTGTTTCTAGGCTGGGGGAAAGCTGGGGTGCTTTAGGTCTGGCTTGCCTGATTCTTAGCCTCTGAGCCCCGTCTCTCTCTATTTCTTGAGTCAGTGCTTCAGGACAGGTTGGGGTGAAGACCTTTGCTGCCCATATTCCTGCCTCTAAATTCCTCATTGTTGACAGTCCCTCCTTTGGGATGAAGTGACTTTCTGTTCACCTAGGCCAGTGATCTATCCCCATTGGGTTTGCATTTTATGTTCTGTTCTTCAGAAAATAGCATCTGTTGTGGTCTGCTGGATGGCCGACCACCTGGGTGGGTTGTACTCTAGACTGTGCCACCCCACTCTATGAAACCAGCATATGTGACATCTTACGGGGTTTACTCCATTTGCTTGCCTAGCCTACAGAATGGAACCATCCCCATCATCGTGGTAGGTGTATTTGGCACCTCAGTGATGAGGTCTCCCAAGCCCAGAGACTTCTCCTGGGTTAACATCTGGTTCTTGGAGCCAAAAGAATTTTCACCGCAAGGGTTGTGATGCATAAGTATGTCATTGAAATAAAAAATGAAGGCTGGGCATGGTGGCTCACACCTGTAATCCCAGTACTTTGGGAGGCTGAGGCGAGTGGATCACTTGAGCCCAGGAGTTCAAGACCAGCCTGGGCAACATAGTGAGACGCTGCCTCTATAAGAAAAAAAAACAAATCAAGCATGTGATAGTAAATTAAAAATAGCAAATGAATCAAGTTGTCAGAATAACTGAACTATAGGTTGATAGACCCCCTCCAAATAGGAGGGCTTTAGCTTCCTCTCCCCAGTTTGTACCCCTCTGGTTTCTGGTAGTCTCTCAAAATGTGCCTCAGAAGTTTACTTAAACAAGTCTTGCAGCTGCAGATTCTGTGTGGCATTCGCCCCACTGCAGCCACAGGTTCCGCGTGGCATTCGCTCCATTGCAGCTGCAGGTTCCATGTGGCATTCACTCCATTCTTCTTCTCCTGCTCTGACCCACTTGTCCATATCTATCACCTACCATGTTGCTTGCAGATGTGCTGCTTTGCCAAGCTGCATCACTGCCTATCCTGGGAATGCAGTGTCTGTGCCACACGTGCTGCCACAGCACCCTGAGCATTCAATCCTTGGGGAAGAGAGTGGCACAGAGACCAGGGGGAAAGGACTCCTCAGCCCTGGGAGATACTTTTTCACTGGGACTCTGGAGTAGCACTGCTGTGTCTAGAGTTTCACAAGGTGTACCATGACTAGTTTTCGTAAGTGACTTCACACGTTAGTCTTTACACCCTAATCGTAGGGGTCCTATTTCCATCTATGGCATTTAGATAAGAAGATATGGTATCATTCCCTCCAACCATTTTTTTTTTTTGGATTCTTCCTTGCTTACCAAAAACTATTCTCCACACTAACTGCAAACCAAGAAAGCTCCTAGGCTCATGTGTAAACACCAGCTAATGCTGGAATGCTTGTACGAGTTGAGGGACACGGGGTTTTGTCTACCTGCAGTAGTCATACAAAAAAATGCCCTGTGATCCTCTCCCCATCTAAGGCTTCAGCTGTATGCTAAGGATTCTATTATGGTTGAATTGTGTTTCCCCACTTCCCTGCCACCCAAATTCGTATGTTGAAGTTCAATACCTTAGACTGTGATCGTTTGGAGATAGGTTCTTCACAGAGGTACTCAAGTTGAAAAGAGGTCCTTAGGGTGGGCTCTAATCCAGTATGACTGGTGTCTTTACAGCAAGGGGAAATGTGGACATAGAGACATGCATGGAGGGAGAATGGGGTGAATAGACGTAGGAGAAGATGGCCATCTACAAGTCACGGAGAGAGACCTGGGCCAGATCCTTCCCTCACAGCCCTCACAAGGGCCAGATCCTTCCCTCACAGCCCTCACAAGGAACGAACTCTGCTGACACCTTGATTTCAGATTTCGAGTCTCCAGAACTATGAGATAGTAAATTTTGTTGTTCAAGTCACTCAAAGGTGGCACTTTGTTAACAATAGGCCTTAGCAAATGAATACAGATTCCAAATAAAAATCTTTAGCCAAGAGCTTTCTCCCAGGACCTAGATTGTGTATTTCTGGTTTTCAATTGAACTTCATCTGGATATCTTATAGGAACTTAACACTCAGTGTGTACCAAATAGAATTTTCTATCTTACCCTACAAATATACCCTTCTTCTCCTCTTCAGCTTTCCAGCCTATAGAGTAGAAATCCATACCATGTCATGGCAGCTGTGCTGGGCACTGCCCTGAGCTGCCAGGCTTTTCCATGTGTTCATCTGCTACATATTACTAATCTTCCTGCCCTCAGCCTCTCCCCTCCAATTCACCATCCACAAAGCTACCAGAGTGACCTTTAAAAAAGGAAATTTGACCCTGTCCGTGGAGAAAGGACTCAGTATTGTTGGGGGCTTTGGCTAGATCTCCTATGCCATATTGTTTCCCCCAAATAAATTCCACATAGTTTTAAAGAGATCCCTTAGATAGCTAGAGGAGCACATAAATTAATTATAAAAATTATTTTGAGGAGTGAAAAGACCTCTCTACACATGAAACAATACTTAGTAATCAGAAAAGAAAATATAGATACATGCGACTACCTGCACATAAAAAATGACCCTGTCGTGGACAATACCAAGAAGGTTGGAAAACAAAATACAAACTGGAAACAAATTTACATGTATGTCAGAAAAAGAATTAAGTTCTTTCATATATTAAAAGCCCTCACAAATCAGAAAGAAAGAGAAATAAGCAACTTGGTAGAAGAGAAGACAACACCAACTGGCCACTCACAGAGAGACACAAATGTCCAATAATTGTGAAAATGCCTAGCACCTTTCTTAATGGAGGAGATGCAAAAACCAACAATGAGATGCTATTTTCACCCTATCAGATGGGCCAGAATTATGTCCCTTGGTGGTCGAGGATATGATGAAGGAGGCCTTCTCATGCCTTCTAGGTGGGAATAGGAAAATGGTACAACTTAATGGTGGGGAAATTTGTCAATGCTTTTTGAGTTAAAGATGCAGATAGTTCTGGTTCCAGCATCAACTGCTAGAAATTTATTCTTTACATACACTTGCATTTGTATGTAATAATATATGTACAATTCATTGCATTGAATATATATATATATTTATATGTACACACATATACACACACACACACACACACACACACAAAAGACAAGACTGGAAACAAGTTAGACATCCATTGACAGGGCGCTAGTTAAATTATGGTACAAGATGTAATGGAATACCAAAGCTTCCGAAATATGTTATTAAGGGAAAAGTATAGAACAGAACGTACATCATGATTCCATTTGTGGATATGCGTGTGTTTTAAAAGACATCCATATGTATGTATATATGTGTTAAAATTTCCAGGATACATAAAGAGCAGTATACAGCAGTTATTAAAGTAAGGAAGTAGAGGCTTGAAACATTTATTTCATAGCCTTCTTTACTACTTCAATATTTTAAAATGGTGTGCACATGGTAGCTTCTCAGTGTAAAAGCTAGATAGTTTAGGGAGTTTGAATCAAAATACTTAAAGAAATTAAAAACAAGTCTGATTGTGTCACATTCTTGCCTAAAATCCTTTAGTAGCAAAGTCCTGGAATGTCACGGTGCTTGTGATGAGAGCTCCCCTGCTCAGCCCACCTGTCCCAAGGAAAACTCTGGAATGCTCCCAGATCTGCTATGTCCTTCCAGAACACACACAGAGATGTGTCTGTCACCTGAGAATTCGGTGCCACATGATATAGCTAAACATCAATGGACAGGAGCCTTGAAGTTTTCTGAACAATTTGTGTCTAATTAAAACAATTCCTTCAGGTTTCAACTCTAGTTGAAAAATCTTTCCAAAATGCCTGAGTTTACTTTCCTGCCTTTGTAAATCCAAAGCAGTAAATCTAAATTTATGTCATTTTTTTTCTCCCTTCATTGTAGTATTTCAGTAAATCTTAGTAATATGGTGCTTTATAGAGGCAAGTATAGAATTTAGGGCTAAATATGAACTGAGACCAGAAAATTTCTCAATTAAAAACATTTTAACAATGAAACATTTAGTTTTTTTGCCTTTTCTTTTATAAATTTAGGAAAACATGTCTGCTTAACTTTGGGTTCCAGAGACACAAGATTTCATTTTTAGGATTGTAGTCAGCACCTACAATCTGAGAGGTCTTAGCAGGCGAGGCCAGGATGCATAATAATGCTTCCCTCAGAATCAGCATGGAGTGCAAGCCCTAGAGGAAGCTGATACAGGAAATTTGAGCCACTAGGCTGCCCCCCATAGACAAAACATTCATGTGGCATATTTACAAAATTGTAACAAAAATTTTGTCTTAAGAAAACATCCAGTGGATGTAAGGCTTATTGAAACCATGATGACTCCCCCATGTCCCCTCTGGTGATTGGGAACAGCTGGGGAGAGCACCCTGTTGAATTTCCAGGGCTGGTTCTGTGTCTCTCTGCAGGGTGGTCATGGTCACAGGCCTGCAAAGATGGGAGAGAAACACCACTGCTATTTGCTGTGGTGCCTGCCTGGAGTAGAGAGGTTAGCATCTGGAGTTTTCTGTCTTGCCAGGTTGCCCCATCTACATAGAGGGAGTAGGCTTTCCTTGGGGTTTTTCTGTCTATGCTTGTTGGAGTTTCTGGGTTGCTGTCTTTAACACCCAGTCTGGGGTATATGAGACAAAAAGAAAACCCAGGTCCTCAGATCCCAAGACCTCAGCCAGCTTGCCTGGGCTGGGCTTGGGCCACCCTGCTCTAACATTTGGAGCGGGGGCCGGGTCTCAAGTTTTTATCCAACTTACGTGTTCATCTAAGTCCTCCGCTTCCAGCTTGTCAATGGACTCATCTGTTATACCATCCCAAAAGTTCTCTTTAGAAGCAAACTCCATGACTTTCAGTTTTGGAAGGAGCATCAAAAGGAAGGGCATGTGGAAAGAAAACCAAAAACATAAAAAATTTAAAACGAATAGAAATAGATTGATGGTATTTACCTTTGCCCTTCCAAAACATGCATACATCATCAATGATATATTAAATAGGTTAATCACATGACCTAAAATTCAACTTGGGAGTACTAATAAAATAGGAATAAGAGGGTCAGTTTCAGTGGCTGACTTAAGAAAGCAAGTGTGTGCTCCTGGTGGCTGGTGAGGGTCAGTCTGACAAAGTGGTCTTTGAATGAGTCCCAAGTGAAGTAAGGAATGCACAGGCAGAAGGCCACATTCCAGCAGAGGACAAGGAGGTGCAAAAGCCTTGAGGTGAGTGTGGGAGGGGCGTGTTTGACACGTGGCCGGGGGAACCCTATGGTATGCCCGCAGTAGAGTAGACATGAAGTTGCACATCCTGAGGGGAGGTCAGAGAGGAGTCAGGGGCGGGTGAGGGAGGGAGGAGTAGGTGGGCAGGTGGTGGGCTGGGGCCAGCTTTCAAAGGACCTTGTAGGCTATGGGAAGGACTTTAGATTTTGTTCTGAGGGAGACTTATTCCGAGTGTGATTTTCACTTGGAAATTTCAAGAAATATAGCTGTCTTCCACCAGGCTTGTCAAAATTTGCCAATTTCTAGAATTGCATATGATTCATTATTACTAATCAGAGCATAAGAGATGAATCCCTGAGCCAGTGAGCTGGATGGAGAACGTCTTCCAGAGACAGTGAATGCCCTTGTTCCTACAAAGGTCAGCGGCTGCCTGGTGACTCTCCAGGCCAGAAGAGTAGCTTGGAGCCTCCAGGGAGCTGGGGTGCAAGCTGAGTTGTGGAACTGATCAGTACAACTTGGGCCTCTCTTCCATACTCCTGGGAAGGTGATTCTGAGAGAAGAACTCAGAGGAAGTGGCTCTGGCATGATAATTGGGCCCCCAGGAAAATGAGGGTGGCCGATTGGCTCAGCTTCTGATGACACCAGCCCTTTCCAGCTAGCCCCTCCGGAGAGCCTGGGAACCCTGCCAGGTTGGCCCTAGACTGATTTTGTGTCCTTCTTATGCCTTTGGGGACAGAGATGGGATGTTCTTTGTGATCTCTACACATTACTTTTGTTGTTCTTCCCAATTTTGGCTCTGTGGCAAAAACTCTGACTCCTTCAGGCTCCTCCTGGGATGGAGAATTTTACTGAGCTGGGGCTGCCTTTACCCACACAGGCCTGGGGCCTCTCTGCTTGCAAACCTTCTCCTGCAGCCTTGGCTTGTGCCTGACAGACTTGCCGCGTATGAGGTGGGCCCCACGCTTCCAGAATTCCCTGGGAATTCTTCCATCACTTCCCACAGGTGCACACAATGCCACCCGCCCCCCGGCATACCCACGACAGGGCAAAGGCAAGGGCATGCTCAGCTTGATTCTAAAAACACTGTGTGTTCCTGAACTGTCTGCCATGGACATGACCAAGGAAGTTTTAAAAAAAACCACGGAGGAAAACCCAGCAAGAATCCTTGGGAATTCAAGCAAGCACTGGGGAAGCTCCTTGTGGGTGGCAGTAGAGAGGAGAAATGAATGAACTGGTAGACAAGGGGCCTGAGAGACCAAGGAGCAGGCTGTTGTGGAAGATGCTCTGAGACTGCCGCAGATGTGCCTGCCCGAGATGGAGATGAGTACGGCTGTGGCCTGGTAACTCAACAACTTCCCATCATTTGCGATTGCCATATCTTAGTAGTTTTTAAAATTTTTGAATAATGCATATTGAATAATAATGTGAGGTGGTACAAAAGGAGGTGTTTATCACGGGAAGAAGGTGAACTTGGCAGCGCTGAATACTCAACAGTGGTGCTCAGGAGCATTCGATTCAAAGTAATAAGTCAGCTTATTAACATGGCTGGGCACTGTCAACATGTCAAGTGTAAATAAGCAGTATCATAGCTGTCACTGGGACTGAGTGAGAAGAAAAAGCCTTATTTCTAATTAACTTTCCCTTTGGGGACATCTGTCAACCTCTACCTCTCTTCTAGTGATATCATTATCTCCTCCTGAAGTCACTCTACGGGAGGATGGGAAGGGCCGGGGGGAGTCTCAGGCCAAGTTCGAGTGGTGGTTCTGTCGTCCGGAACCTGGGGCACTTCCGGCATGTCACTGTTGTGTGTCCCCCTTGCACCCCAGCTCCGTATCTGTGCAATGGGACAATAAGACTCATCTTGAGGGTGGCTCAGAGGACTAGTGCTAATGTAGGTCAATGCTAGCACACACTGTTCCCCAGGTGGAGCATGTCTTCCCATGGTCTGATTAAAAACAAATCTTTTTTTTTTTTGAGACGGCCTGTTGCCAGGCTGGAGTGCGGTGGCATGATCTTGGATCACTGCAACCTCTGCCTCCTGGGTTCAACTGATTCTCCTGCTTCAGCTTCCTGAGTAGCTGGGATTACGGGCACATGCCATCATGCCCAGCTAATTTTTGTATTTTTAGTAGAGACGGGGTTCTCCCATGTTGGCCAGGATGGTCTCTACCTCTTGAGCTCGTGATCCGCTGGCCTCAGCCTCCCAAAGTACTGGGATTAAGAACAAATCTTAACTCTTCCTTCTTCAAGTGCCTCTCCTCTACCATTTTTCTTTTTTATGTAAGAAAAGTTTTAGGGACAGGGTCTGTCTCTGTAGCCCAGGGTGAATTGCAGTGTTGTGATCATGGCTAACTGTGACAATACTCCCACCTCAGTCTCCTGAGTAGCTGGGACTACAGGCACACACCACCATGCCTGATTAATTTTTAAATTTTTTGTAGAGATGAGGTCTTGCTATGTTGCCCAGGCTAGTCTCAAACTCTTGGCCTCAAGTGATCCTTCCTTCTCGGCCTCCTAAAGTGCTCGGATTACAGGCATGAGCCACTGCACCCAACCTCTTAACATTTTTCTTGACTGAATGATTGTTCTTGAATTTGGGATAAATGAGCTGTGTGTATTTGCCCTGAGGGGTTAATATTTTAATTCCCACATTATGTGACAAAGATTCTTTGCTTGACCAAACTTTAGTCGGGCTCCCGAATCTTTTCCTAGGCCCATCTGTGCACTTCCTTATAAAATCCAGTTTTAGCAAGAACCCTGCTAAGTTGGTTTAACAAGAACCCCTACCCTCAATATCTGCTCTCCCTCAATATCTAATGAGGTTCTTCATCCTCCACCATCATCTGGTTAATATCTGATCACCTGACCCATCTTCAGCAAGAATCCGATTAGGTTGGTTTATTCAGAATTCCCCATGCTTTCCTCTTAGTGATTTTCCATCCACTGACCTCTACCCTGCTCCTTGGGTATAATTTCTCACTTGCCCACGCTGTATTTGGACTTGAGCCCAAGCTCTTTCCCCTCCTGCAAAATCTCATTGCTGTGGTCTCTAAACTTACCACAGTGGTTCTGAATAAAGTCTACTTACTGGGCTTTAACAAGTATCAATGAATACTTTTTTCTTTAACAGTAGATGAGGAAAGGTTGGGGAGAAGCAGTAAGTGACTAGCCCAGAGCTATCTCTGAGAAATGAGCAACCCAGTGCCTCTGATTGACAAGCACACAGATGAAACTCGATCCTGTTTTCACCTTCTCCATGTTTCACAGTGAATTCCCTACTATCCTAGGCAGATGGCTAAAGGGTCAGGTTAGGCTGGTGGCTGCTGTGGTACAAATCTATAAACTTTTCTAAAATCTAGCTACTCAAAGTGTGGTCCGTGGATAAGGAAGCTTGTTAGAAAGACCAAATCTGGCCAGGCACAGTGGCTCACGTCTAGCATCCCAGCACTTTGGGAAGCTGAGGAGGGAGGATTGCTTGAGCCCAGAAGCTGAGACAAGCCTGGGCAACATAGTGAGACCTAGTCTCTTTAATAATAAAAAATTAGCCAGGCATGGTGGCATGTGCCGGTGGTCCCAGCCACTCAGGAGGCTGAAGTGGGAGAATCACTTGAACCTGGGAGGTGGAGGATGTTGTGAGCTGTTCTCACACTACTGGGCAACAGAGGGAGACCCTGTCTAAAGAAAAAAGAAAAGTCAGATCTCAAATCTCAGATCTGCTGAATGAGAATCTGCTTTTAAACAAGATTCCCAGGTAGTTGTCCTGCATATTAAAATTTGAGCATCGCAGCTCTAAAATGCCCATGGAGATGGAATAAGATGGAGAAAGCTATTTATCAGTACCCTTCTGGCAGTGTGATGAGTTGGGTGGGATGCATACTCTGGAGTTTATAAGGGTTTATTTGATAAGCCATGGGGTGGGGATGGGAGTATAGCAGCTGTTGTGTGTATGTAAGACCTGATCCCTCTCCCACTACCCCTTTGTTTAAGTAAAACAGATCTTAGTCCCTAAATTGTGTTCTAATGAGGATGGGTCTGGTTAATTGCAGGCTTTTGTTTTGGGGAGTGATGCTCACAAGTTGGGATTCTGCTACCTAAGGATTCTCCCCTGTTCTTCCCCCTTGTAGGATTCAACCAACCCCCTCTTAATAAGCATTTAATAAACCTTTAAGACACCACTTGGAGGGGCTCCAATTTATTCCTTACCAAGATGCCATAGGACCCTGAGTCTATCTGGGGAGGTGCAGGTATCCCAGTCAAGCCTGCTTCCCGGGTCTCAGGGAATCCAGCAACCCCCCGGATGCTCTTAAATGTGGGAGTCCCTATCCCAAGCTTTTGAGTAGGAAGATGGACTTTCAGTCCTGTCCCTTCAGAGACCCTCTCTCTGTTTCTCGTTTCAGCCTCCTTGAGGAGGTTCGGGGGCCATATGCCCAGGATGCCCCTCAGTCCCCTCTGGGCCCAGGGGCATGCTGGATCACAGAGGGAGCCACCTGCCAGGGGCACCTTCCCCACCCAGGGCACTCTGCAGAAAGCAGGGATCTTTGGATATATTACGTCAGATGCTCACCATTTTCTTCCTCTTTTTGCTGTACTTTAGTGTTAACACACTCTAAAAAAGAATAGGAAAAATTATTCTTTTTTTTTTTTGAGACGGAGTCTCGCTCTGCTGCCCAGGCTGGAGTGCGGTGGCCGGATCTCGGCTCACTGCAAGCTCTGCCTCCCGGGTTCACGCCATTCTCCTGCCTCAGCCTCCCGAGTAGCTGGGACTACAGGCGGCGCCACCACGCCCGGCTAGTTTTTTTGTATTTTTTAGTAGAGATGGGGTTTCACCGTGTTAGCCAGGATGGTCTCGATCTCCTGACCTCGTGATCCGCCCGTCTCAGCCTCCCAAAGTGCTGGGATTATAGGCGTGAGCCACCGCGCCGGGCGAGGAAAAATTATTAACAGGATACGGTATGGTGAACTAGTCCAGACCTTTTAATCCCTTATGGAATCAATTTAAAAATCACCTCCTAGATAGCTGGGAAGCCTCAGGGTGGAGTGCACGTGTTTTAGGATAAGAGGCTTCCTTGATCTTCAGCAGTTGGAGGCCTGCAGCACATGTTCACTGAATATTGATTCCCCTCCCTTTATTCTTATTGTATCTTGCCCACTAGAGTTCAGGTTCTGAGAGGGTGAGATGGGTTTTGTCTACTTTATATCCTGCCTCATATACAGTAGGGATATAGTAAATGTCATTGCATGAACTAAGTATGGGTAACACCATTATCTTCCCTCCTAATTGCAGTGACAAATATTGTTTCCTCTCCTTTCAAAATGCCAGAGCACTTAACTCTCTGGCTCAATGTCTTACCTGAGCCTGGAGCCTTGACATTAAATTCCAGAAATAATGTCTTGGCCATTGGCCTCCATTAAGCCTGCTCTGTTTTAAAATGGCCAACAGCCTGCTCTCCTTGGTTGGGGGCAGGCTGATTTTGTGCTTCTTACCTTCTCCAGGATGGATGACTAACTTCTACAGATCATTTAAAATCATCATAAACTTTACCTTTCGGAGCAGGCTTCGTGGTGGTTTCTTGTTCTGTTTCTGATTTCGATTTTAAAGATTTTACTGTTAAAAGGCAGAAGAGGATGGCTATTAATGATTTAAACCTTACATTTTCCAGTGGATTCATACTGGGTATTTGGGGCCTCAGGTTCTTTCTTGGCACCCAAAGCTGGTCAACAGTTTGGGGCAACTGAGGCTGGTGGGTACAGCTGGCATATATAGATGCCCCACTGCACCCCAACCCCTTTGGCTTTGGTAAATCACTCTAGGATTGCAATAAATTAGTGATCAGAAAATGTAACCCTGTTGTGGCCTTCTAATCTGGTTACCATGAGGCTAGTTTCGGTCCTCAGGATAGCGGGAAGGGCTGAGGCAGGGTAAGAGGAAGACTTTAGAGGTATCCCTCCTGCTGTAGGAACCATAGAACCAAGTGGCTCCAAGGCCATGTAGACATACAATGTGGTGTGCCTGTCACTGTACGAAGTAGCGTGTCTGCTCTGTGACCACGGGGTGTGTAATGGGGACTGGATGGGAAACATGGGGATTGCCTAGGATAGATCTGCTAAGATTTGCAATGGGAAGCTACTGTATATATACATTAGGACTTTTGTAAGTTCTTGATTACCCTTGTTTTCTGTCTTCTGGAACTTTATGATCCTTGTTCCTTTTTCCTCTTTCCCTGGTATTTGTCTTCCTACTCCTAAATGCTAAATACATGTGTGTACATGTGTGTGTACACACACTCACAGACAGACACACACACCCTACATTCCTGTGTACACACACTCACAGACACACACACACACACACACACACCCTACATTCTTGTGTACACACACTCACAGACACACACACACACACACACACACACACCCTACATTCCATTATTTTTTTTTGAGACAGAGTCTCACTCTGTTGCCCAGGTTGGAGGGTAGCGGTGTGATCTCCGCTCACTGCAACCTCCACCTCCCAGGTTCGAGTCATTCTCCTGCCTCAGCCTCCTGAGTAGCTGGGACTACAGGCGTGTGCCACCACACCTGGCTACTTTTTGTATTTTTAGTAGAGGCGGGGTTTTGCCATGTTGACCAGGATGGTCTCAAACTCCTGACCTCAGGTGATCCACCTGCCTCAGCCTCCCAAAGTGCTGGGATTACAGGCGTGAGCCATTGCGCCCAGCCCATTCCATTCTTAATAGCGGGGACTAATAGGGCCATGATGAAAAAGCCAAGTAAACTGCTCCACCAGCTTATGGCCTTGTGTGGTGGCCTGTGGCATTAAGAGGACTTTGAACACTTGCCGTATCAGTGCCTATTAGTTCTTCAGCAAGAGGCCGGCACTTCTGCAGACAAGGAGCTCTCCAATTTCAAGAAAACTCACTGTGCCATGGCACAGTTCTGACTGTTAGGTATAATTTCTTTTCTTAAAATATTTCCCTAGGATTGCATTAGTGTCCTATTCTAGCCCTTCAGTCTGGAGTGTAAGACTCAGGTCTTGGTTTTGTGTGGCAGATTGTCAAATATTTAAAGTCAGTTTTTACATCTCAGAGTCATGTGTCTTCCAGACTTAACATCGTCCTTTGCTTCAGCAGTTCTTTGTGTGAGGTAGTTGGCAGTTTACTGTCCAGGACACCAGCCTTTTTGTTGAGCCCCCACCAAGCTGCTTCTAGTTCTTAGAGAGTGTGGTATCCCCCAAACTGAATGCGCCATTCCAGCGATGGCACTCCAGTGTGGGGCAGAGCAGGATGAAATCCTCTTCACATAACCTTTCAGTTGTATCTGGTTGTGTTAACTTTTCTGGCAGTGATATCAATTATACTATTGAGCTTGTGGTTGAAGAAAGCATCTAACAACAAACAGGGCTTCCTCACTCTGCACTTCTCCAGCCTGCTGTTTTTGGGGGCCTGATAGCAGGATCTAATATCAATGACCAGTATCTTTTATCTAGCTAATTCTGGTCCGATGTTCCTGCCTGCCAAAATCTTTTAGAATCTGATTATGTTATCCTCAGCATTCAACAGCTGCAGGGCATCTATAAATATAAATATTCCTTCTAAATCTGCATCCAAGCCTATTATAAAAAATTTTGTACTGGACAGAGCCCCACGGTTCTCTGCTGGAAACCGGGTCGACTCTGATCTATGAAACAGTATCTTGGAGTGCTGTTCAATCAGTTATTATTAGTGATGACATCATCTTACAGTAGCACCCACCTAATATATCTCTATCTTGTCCAGGAACATCAGGAAGCCTTTGGAAATGAAATGTCTCGTGGAATTGCGCCCTATGGGGTTTCCACAGTTCCCTAATCTGATAACCTTGTCAAAAAGTGACCTCAAAGCCAGTATTATGTGATTGGCTTCTATTGATCTTAGGCTGGTTTCTTGCGATCATTTTGCTCTCAGTATTTGTCCCAGATTGGTCACAGACTCATTTCACCAACTTCCCACAATTCCTCAAAAACCAGAAGCAAGATTAAGCTATTCTTTCACTATGTACACATTCTGGAGTATATTTTATCCAGATCAGGAGACAGCAATTACCATTCTCTTTTGATTTCTTTTCACCAATCTTTAGTTCCTGCTATTTCTCACCTAATTTTGTTGCACTCTTTTCAGTTTGAGAATAATTTTTTTTTACAGCGAAGTCAAAATTAAATAGCAATTGAACAACTTGATTTTTCCCTGAATCGTTCATCAACACTACACTAAACAGTACTAGCCTGTCTGTCTTGATTTTTTTTTGGCTCAATTCTGTTTTAAATGGGCCTCTGTCTTTTGCTGCTGCCTGTATGATCACTATTATTATTATTCTGTTTTGGTAAGAATGTTTATCCTGGGATTGATTCAGCTTTCCTGACACTATTCTTAAAGTTCACAGCCATTTTCCTGTATTTATTGTTGAGAGCATCCTCATCTTTTTAACCTCTGTATGTGATATTTCAAAATCTGAGTCCACTGAAGGAAACACACCAGTTTGTACTTTTGAGAGCTGTCAATCCTCTTCCCCATCTGATATGGTTTGGCTGTGTCCCTACCCAAATCTCATCTTGAATTGTAGCTTTCGTAATTCCCATGTATTGTGGGAGGGACCTACTGGGAGATAACTGAATCATGGGGGTGGTTTCCCCCATACTGTTCTTGTAGTGATGAATAAGTCTCATGAACCTGATTATTTTATAAGGGGAAACTTCTTTCCTTTGGTTCTCAGTTCTCTCTCTCGGCTGCTGCCATGTAAGACGTGCCTTTCCCTTCTGCCATGATTGTGAGGCCTCCCCAGCCACGTGGAACTGTGAGTCCATCAAACGTCTTTTTCTTTATAAATTACCCAGTCTCAGGTATGTCTTTATCAGCAGCATGGAAACAGACTAATACACCATCTGACCTCTGCTTACACCTCTGCATATTCTCAGCCACATTTCTATACACACAATGTCTCTATGTGTACATATTTCTATCTACAGAGCTCCTTTCCTACTAAGACTAATTTTTTTGTAGTAGTATATACCCTTTTATCACCATGATCTGACCTTGAATCAGATGAGGGCTCAACAACAATTTCACAAGTATTTATTAAATATTCATGCTTACTATGTACCAGGCACTAAGTCTGGAGGATTTCTGTGAGCATGGATATAATGCTCTGTGTTAGAATTTCTGGCTGACTTGGTTTATAATCCTGCTCTGTGCCTGGATAGATACATGAGGCCATAACTAGTGTTTCCGGTCCTCCAGAGCGTCTCCTTATATGGATCACGAAGCACTTCCTGTGCCTGTTGCAGCCTTTCCGTGTCAGACCTGCCACCCTCTGCAGTCATAGGTCCCGAGGATTTACCTGGGTATTTTTTCCTCCATATTTGGCCAAAGTCCTGTTTGTCGAGAAAGGCTGAGCCATGTGGAACACCATTTTTGACTCATTGTGGTTGAACAATCCCATAATAAAATCATGCTTTGGAAGAGGGAGCCTTGAAACCAATTCATCTTAAACTAGAGGTTCTCCAGTTCCTCATCGTTCATGTCCCTGAGCAGCTTCTGGGGATCTGGTTAAGAATGCAGATTCCAGGATGTTTCCGGCAGGGGTTCTGATAAGCGCTAGAAAGCTACATTTTCAGTTTTGTGCTTCCTGGTTCCTCTTTGTCGCCCTCTTCAGGCATGTGGCCAGCCCATGGGCTGGGTCCACAGTGGTGTGAATAGGCTCAAGTCCCCTCTGTTGCATACCCCAGACTTTTCCCATTACCTTTCTCCTCTCCCACATCCTTTCAAGCTTAGCATTGGCACTTGACTGGCAATTACTCAGTAAATGACTTTCAGAATCCTTCTTATGAATATTTACATAAATGCTCAGATTTTCTTGGTGGTCATGCTTACTGACTTTGAGATAGTTCCAGTTCTTGGGGCTCTGGGGGAGCACACAGAACTGAAAAAGGTTCCCAGTGAACCAATGTAGCCTGTGGAACACTCCTCGGCACATGCTGGCAGTGTGTGCCTGTCCTCTGCCTCTCCATTCTCTCTTACAGGGTTTCTGCCTCCTAATCTCATTTAACCACATTGGAGCTACAAAATTTAGCAGCCATGGATAGGGGCAGGGAGGGGAGGTGACGGGGGAATCTAATTTACTGCTGCCATGACTACAGATGTGAAATAAATCTGTGAATCAGTGATGGATCGATCCCACTAAGGCTGGATTTAAATCATTAATAATGGCAAGAAATGATATTCGGTCTTCCACCCCCAGGGTCCCAGAGTGAGGATTTCGGGGCTTAATTGGGTAGAGAGTGAAGACCCTTAATGCAATTTTGCCAGACTCTCTCCTGTGTGTCTGAGCTGTAGCCACGAAGGTTCGCTACATAGATAGTTTTGGTGGGTTCTGAATCAGGGCTGGCTTCGACCTCACGCTGAGACTGTCGGTGGTGGGCCCATGTCCCATTTTCCATTTTCCATTTTCCACATGATTATCTGGATATGGCCTGTCACCCCAGGGAGCCAGTGTATAATCTGGGAAGAAAATGGCCTGTGTCCCTGAGGGAAATCGTGCCTGTGTTCATGTAGAACAAGAATAGGAAGATGAATGAAAAACAGGGGAGGAGACGGAAAGATGGAAGAAGCTATTTGTTTCAGCACTTTGCTGATGCTCTTTCTCTGAGGGAGGTCTGGGATGGGAGGAAACGGGAAGCAAGGCTAGGAGAGGAGTTAACAACTTACCCAAAATGAGACCTCAGAGGGCAACGGAAACAGTAGGATATCATTAGCGTGAGAGGCAATACTCAAGCTACAATATTTCACATGCACAAAATGCTGCAAGACCATTACTCCCCCAGCCCACAGAGCCCAGCCGGGCCTCGCCGACAGAGCTCAGCTTTCCTCACCGGCAGTTCCGCCATAGTGCCAGTCCGTTTGACTGGCCTGGCTCCTCCTGTACAATGTCAGAAGCGACTCAGAAGACTCTGTGGCAGATTCAGAGATGGCAGAAGGGGTCATGGAAATCAACGGGACAGTCAAGAAGTTGGTCGCTTGAGAGGGGCCAGCGTCTGGGCTCCTGCCAGAGGGGAGAACAGGAAGGTCAACTTCCAGACAGGGGCCAGGTCAGGAACCCCTCCTAAGGCACGCTAGGGGTTGAAGGGGTGCTCTTGACATCCAGACCCGGATGATGGACGTCTCGAGGTTTGAAGAGACGAGCTGTGAATCATGAAAAATAGGCCGGTGTGTCACTCTGGGCAGCAGAGCCACACATTGCCACTGCTGCTTCACTAAACCATGAGAGGATCTGTGGCTGCCTTCAAAGGCCACTGGGCCAGGTGGTCATAACTGACAGATGTTCCAGAACAGTCTCCTTCTTTCCTGGCTCACAACCCTGCTTATTCTGGTGCCTCTCCCTGCCTCACGGTTGTTTTGGGCAGAGTGGAAAAGATACTGAATTAGATGCTGCAGCAGTTTAAAATTAAGCACTGAGGTCTGTCCCTGCAATCGGCTCACCACAAACACCACCACCATTAAGAAGGCTTTCCAAAGGGCCTGAGGGCAGGGCACTGGGTGTGAGGTGCAGGTTCCACTGCCTGGCAGCTTAGGATCAAGAGGGATGACCCTGACACATCAATCCACACTGTGTTCTTTCTCAGGAGTCTCTGGCTTTTAACTAGGGGCAAGAAATTAATTCAAATGAATGAGAGGGGTCTTTGGGGGTGTTTTGGCTCTGGAGTTATTTCATGTCAACTGGTCCAGTTGGCAGAGATGGGCACAAGAAAAAAATCCCCAACATATAAATAGGTGGTGACTATGGTTGGTAGCAAAGGCATAGACTTTGGTGTCAGCTCTTGACACTTGAGCTTAAATGTTGGCTCTTGCAACATAGTGGAGGCACTTGGGGTAAGTTACTTGTTTGCTGTTACTCTTGCAGAGGAAGTAAGTTAGGCCTGTCCCCATCTGCACCAGGGAACTCAGTGTAGGGGCGGGGAGTGGGTTAAGGGCTGGAGTCTGGGTAAGGGCTCAGGCAAAGAGGTGGAGGGAGAGAGCAGAGGCTGTTTGTTCTCGCAGGTGGGTGCCCTGGGAAGGCTCCCTTCAGGGTCTATAGGAGTTACAGGCAGATCTTGCAGGTGCCTCTGAGGGACAAGTAGGGGAGCTTGGGTCTGTGCCAGCCCTGCAGGCTGGGGCTGAGCAGCTATGTTCTTAGGACACACCATCAAGAAGGGGCCCCTGGGTAAGTGGCCGGATGTTTGGGTCCTAGGTCAGGTGACCGCAGGGATTCAGAACAGGTGGATGCAGGTGAATTCCTCAGGTCCGTGGCAACTCTTGTCCTGCTCCAGACCCCAGGGCCAGGTGAGTAGACTCTCCAGGGCCTCAGTTTCTTTATCCTTCTAGCGAGATGATAACTGTCATACCTCACTCACCTGGTGCCCACTGGGACTACAGAGATGATGCCAGTTCTCATGAAAGGACTTAGAAAAGTCAAATCTGCCAAACAAACTTAGAGAGTTATCTCATAATATTGGCTTCTCTGGTCATTTCCATTATCAAGTACATTTCCCCCCATACGCTCTCTGTTGTGCCTGCTCCAGGCTGGATCATCGCAGGGTCTTCTGGAGTTCCTGCCAGGGCTCACCTCCCAGGAAGCAGAACCAGGTTCCAGTCACCTGGGCTGAACACTAGCCCCATGTTCCATTGCGATGGAGAGGACACAGGGTGGAGACGTTGGATCCTGGATCCTGGGGAGTTGGACTGCTCGAGGCCTGCTTCTGTAGTGCTTTAGCGAGGGGAGGGCCTGGCATGTGCCTGGAGGATCTTCAGTAAATGGGGAAGTGAGAGAGGGAGCCGCTCCAGGCCTGGGGTGGCTGATAGCCTTTCTGTTTATAAGGGACACATGACACGCTTGATCTGTACCTGCTATCCTTCCCCAACCCTTGCCTCTCACACATGTGCACGTGTGAATGTAACACTTACTGCCTAAAGGAGTCTGTGGAAGGTTTGGGTTCTCAGCTTTCTCATGTGAAGAATATCCTGGGCCTCTCTGAGAACTTGGAGGCCCAGATCTGGCCCCTGGGGACCCAAGCCTGATGTGGACACCAGGAAGGCCCCCCAGGGCCTCTCTGATCCTCACAGCTCTCCATGGGCCCCGGGAACCCATTGGAAACCCCCTCAGCTGAAATATGAACAAAGGGTTGGCTTGGTGTGTGTGTTTGGAATAAAGCTGACCAGGAATCCTGACTCTTGTTCAGGGCATGCTAAGTTTTCTACCTGGTGGTTCGTGGGGTGCAGAATGGAGGATGACACGGATCTGCGGCACTTACTGAGAGTGTGCTGTCTGCTGGTCACTGTTCAGCCTCCTGCTCAGTAAATATACATTTCATCCTCACCAAAACCCCGTGAGGCTGGAACTCTTCCCCTACCCATTTTACAGGTGAAGAAACTGAGGTACAAGGAGATTAAGTGGCTGCCTGGGTGGAGGAGCTGAGTTTCAAACCCAGGCAGTCTGGCTCCAAAGCCCCAGTTCTCAATATTTTTAAGGTGGTCACATCACTGTCGGGCCCCTTCACTGTGTCTGACCACATTGCTTCACTTGCTTTGAGTGTCAGCGAATGGGGTGAATGGGGGCTTTTGGAAAGCCACTCCCTCATTTGTGCATCACCTGCAGTGGAGTTACCTGTCAGAGGCCTTGCAGCATCCCTGGAGGTGTGCAGCGGGGAATAGAGCTGGAGCGGGGCTGCCTCGCCAGGTCAAGGGACAGCCCTGCGTGGGAGCCCTGTGCCCTCAAGTTGTAACTTATGGGTCCCCTACTTGGCAAAACTGGGATTTCATTCCTGCTTCTCGCCGTAACTAAACTGGCGCTGTGCTTTTTTTAGATCTAGTGGAGATAAATTATCCTTTGGGGAAAAAGTGTAGGGGACAAGACAAAAAGCCAAGGACAAGGCTTGTGGACTCCTGCAGCTGGGCACGTAGCAGGCCCAGCATATTCCACAGAGGCTCACTTATTCCACAGATACTTCATTGACCGTCTAGTGTGTGCCAAGTCCTGTCACAGGATTTTAATGAGTATTCACTGAATGAGAATTCACGCCTTGGAAATATGCCTAAACCTATTCTCTTCCTGGAGAAACTGCACCTTCCCTTGGGGACATTCAGTCATCTGCTTCCCTGAGAGCACTGCTTGCGAGCCCTTTGCAGTCTCTCCTGGTTGAGACCTTCTCCCCAGGCTCAGACAACCTCTGCCCCTTTCATCTCTAGTGGTTCTGAGCACCCAGGACACTGATCTTGGGACCCACCCCTCCCCTGTGAGTGACTGAGTGGCAGAGGCAAGCAGGGTTGTAACTTCTGGGAGCCCCAGTAAACTTCTCCTTCCTCCCCTACTCCGTGCCACGCCCCGTCTTGGGTTCTCCACGGGCTGCTGAAACATTGTCCCTAAGGAGGAGTTTCCACCTGATTTATCCCAAAAGAAAACTATTACCTTGCATCACGAAGAAGCATGGTTTGTGACGAATAACTTGCCTTGGGTTCTATTGGAAAAAAGAATAAAAAACAATATTGGCAAAAAAGCATCTTTCTATTTAAAAATGTGTTGTTAAGTATGTGGAGAGGGCCCTCGTTATAGAAATTTTCTATTTTTACTTTTCTTTAGTAGTGTCTCTTAATGGTTTCCTTTAAAAATTAGTAGGTTGAAATTTTATAAAATTAGTGAGAACTCAAGACGATACTTTTCAGGCGATCATGGATTTTGGAAATTCAAGTTTGCTTTGCTTATCTCTATCGTTATCCCAGAAGCCTCCCTCTGTCTCGGGATGAAGGACGTCTGTCCAGCAGAGGTGACTGAGGTACAGGGCATATATGTATTTTAAGAATTAATTTTAATTTTAAAGGACCTGCTTGTGTCCCCGTAATCACCTGATTGTTTGCCTTGAGTGATAAGGCATCAAGAATTTCTTGTACACTTGGGATAAAGATAAAATATGCCACCAACTCTGATAATACAAAATGGCAACAGGGGAAGCAATAGAGAAACAAGAACCAGAACATTTGAATTGGAAAAGGAAATGTGAACACTTCCCTTATCCATAGCTTACCCATGCAACAAAATAGTATTGAGGAATATCCCTTGGCTATTAAAATGATGTCTCTAACAATTAAGCAACATGGGCAAATGGTGAAGTTATAATACTAAGTTACAAAAGTAAAATACTACCTTGTATAGACAGCATGTTTAAAATGGTAAAAACCATACCACACAACAAGGACCATCACTATCACAAATGCAAACAATGGCGGCAAGGAGACAGAATACAAATCACTTAAGTGTGAATTAGCTTTATTTATATTTGAATGTTCACAGGTTGGGGGTTGTCTTTCTACTCTTTTCACATTTTTCATTTTTTAAAGAAAGGAACAAGAAGATTTTTTTTTGATGTCCCTTTTCTAAAATTAAAATAGGTACACAACTTATTAAAAAGCAGAAACAAAGCATGAAAGGAGGAAGGAAGGGAGGAAAGGAGGAGAAGTGACTAGAAGAGGAGAGAAAGTTTGGGAGCCTGTCCTGGCTGTTCTAATGATTTTCTGTGACCTTGGGGGTAGTCACATGCGCTCTTTCTAGCTCAAAGTTGCTCATCTGTGAAATGGGCAGGAAGAGAAAATGGTTGGGACAATTAAAGGAGATAGAGATTGTGAAATATACAATATGTACCCTATGCCATCAGACTATGTTCCCTAACTTTCACTGGACCAACACACATACAGAAAATAATTCTGTTCTTTTGGGAGCACAGTGGAGGCATCGGCAACCGGCTCTGGGGCTCAGCATCCCCCCACCCACCAGTGGTTGACTCAAGGTCACAGAGGTGAACGTCCTTGCATGAAAAGTTGGCTGGCTTTCTCATCTCTGCCTTGTTAGTGTCTCTTGCACCTTTTTCTGAAATTTCCAGAATTGCTAGGTTCCCTGTTGGAAATGGTAGTTGGGACACCAGCTCTCAACTGGAAATGGCAACTGAATTACAGCCGTTAGGCCAGACAGCATTTGGAGCTGCTGAGGAAGAGCTAGCAGGGTAAAGAAAATAAAATTCGATGCATTATGTATATCAAAAGATGAGGCAAAAACATGATGAATCAAAATCAATGTACTGTGACATCTCTATAGCATTATTTGCCACAAGGCAGAATTTATCATTAGGAACGTCTTGGGTACTAAAAAAACTAAAAGGGGTCTCATTGTGGGGTGGTTTCACTCTATAGTATGTTCTACGGCAGCAGGAGAGCAATGTAGCCTGGAGGCTCATCTAGCACCTCTCTTCTTGTAAGATTAGAAGAGTATTTTATACTTACAATTGCATGGTACAGGGGAGTTTCAAAGCAGTTTCAGATATGTTACTTCATTTACTTATTGCAACCCACTGTGAGAAAGGTGCTTTTGCACATGGGGAAACTGAAACCTAGAGATGATAAGTGACATGCCCAACGTCTAGGCCCCACCGTGTGCTGGATTTTCTGACTTGGACACCACAGCACTCACACCCATGTTGTGCATCCAAAATCTGAACTCCCCCAGCAGGCCAATCAGATGCAACTAACCAATTATTCACTGGCAGTTGATGCTACATTTATATTCAAGTTGCTCACCTAATTTTAGTGGATTTCCCCATAAACTTTGGGGGGAATCAAGCCTTTAAGGAAGAGAGGTGGGTGGGGGTTGTTAGTCTGATGTAAACTGATTTGTCCAGGGCTGTGGGAGTCTCTGAAGTTGACCGGCCTGTAGGGTGGATGAGTGGAGGGTGTAGATCCCTCCCACAGCCTGATTCATTGTGTCTCATCTTTTGGTTATGTCCATTTCACAAAGCAGGTAATGTGGCTAGGGGTGTGTGGCCAGTCACAAGTCAATGGCAAGGGAATAATAATACATCATGTAATATAATAATACTTACAATGGCCAACACTTTCTTGGGCCTAAAATGCTATGTGCCTGGCATATCTCTTAATGATTTACCTAATTAAATCACTTTAATCCTCCCACACATCCTATGAGGTAGGGCTAATGCTGTTCCTATTTACAATGAAGACAAACAAGACATGGAGAGGTTAAGTCACTTGCCCAAGCTCATGCAACTAGTGAGAGGGAGAGAGCTGGCTTTCAAACCTAGGCAGTCAAGCTCCTGAGAGAAAGGAAAATGTGCTCTTCATGACAGACTCCTATTTGCTATTAAGTAGATAAATAAATGGCATTCAGACACCCCCTTTACTGTCTGTTCCTGTGGCAGACATTACTAGTTGATCACAGCACTCTTTGCTGCTGAGCCCCGACAAGGCCTCAGAATTCTTCTCAGCGTAGTTTTCCACTAACCTCTAGTAGTTAATGCATCGGCATGAGAGATAAGCCCATTTGTCATATCTAGGGCTCATTTTATAGATGCCAATTAATTGATAAGGTTTAAAAGAATTTGTGGGCACCCATGTATATGTGAGTGTGACTGGCTCTAGGAAGTGAATATGATCACTTGATTCAATTTACATGTACTGAGCATCTGCTATAGGTGAGGAAGGCACTCTTGTTAGTTACTGAGGTTCAACACAAGGGTAAACGAAGTTATATCTTAAGGGTATTAGGAGAATATTCTACCTAAAAATATTGATATATATTTTTTTAAAAGTTAAGAAATTTCTTGTAAATTTTTTCTTAACCTGTTTTGTACAATCTGTCTTGAAGCCCTAGAATTTCATAAACCAAGACATTCTTTCATGAGCCTTGAAAGGCATTTCAGCATCTCCCTGGTGTTTCTTCAGTGCCTCTCCAATTTTTGTTAGCAGGACATTTATTTTCAAAGTGTTTGCTTTATACACAATTCCATTCGCTTGACAGCATTGTATTTGTCCTACTCTAGTGGGTAATATATTTACTAAGATCCAGCACATAGAGGGAACATGTTAAGAATGCTTGATTCATACCGTGCAAGAGAAAAAGCCCTGAATGCTATTTTTCAGTATTAGAATTACATTTGATACTTGAACAGCAGGGATATTAGGATTCCAAGAGGAAACTTAATGGTAGAGGCACACAGAAAAGAGAGTTTCCCAGCAATAGCGGAATTACCTCTCTAATGCAACAACTAAATTTCCAGGAGGGGAGTAGGAATCAAGGATGGTACATCTGATTTGATGGAGAGGGATGTAATAGTAAATGCCTGTGTGGCTGCTGATAACACCCAGCTTTTAGGATGTAGGTTGAGTGTAATCAGATTTTTAGGAATTTAAAAATTCGGGCTGCCTAGGATGCTTGCAGTTGGTAGCAGAACCAATAGTTTAGTTCTACTTATAGGCCAGCATGAAGATGATGTAGGTGACCTGAACCTTTACATTTCTGTACCTAGTAGAATATGGCCATGCAGTCACAACATCAAGAGAAGACACTACAGGGACATATGAGCAAAAGCACATTAATCACTGCCAGCAAACAGCACAAGGAGGCTGCTGCCAAATAATAAAACCCAACATGAGGAAATGCTGCCAGTAGCTGAAACAGTGTTGAAAAAACTTTAGCCCTTGGATGAGAAAAATCACTCTAAAGTCAAATACTTACCCCCAGACTAAAATGATTCCTTTAAGGGGGATGTATGGGTATCCTGAGAAGCATACCAGTGTCTGTTGACCTAGCAACAGAGTGTAGGAATGTATTCCAGGAAATAGAGATCTCTGATAAACAGTTCACCAAAATGCCATTTTAAAAAAGGAACAAAACATTGGAAGCAATAAATGGTCAATAATAGAAGATTGATTAAAAATAATATAGCTTATCAATACAATACAATGTGATGCAGTCATTAAAATTATTAGAAAGCTTAATATTTTAAATGTATATAATATTAAATGATATTCATATATGTATAGTGTTTATACATAATATTTATATAAATAAGTGTATCTTTAAAAGCAGGTCACAAACACAACATAAAGCTTGATCTTTTTACAAAAGGGGTGTGTGTATGTGTATATATATGTGTATATAAATACATGTATGTGTGTGTGTACATATATAGAATAAGTCTGGGGAAGATATAATCACAAGTGTGGAAAGTGATTATCAAATCTGATAGTCAAGTGGTGGTGATTTTTGCTTTCTTCTTTTTGCTTATCTATAGTTTATTTCTTTCTTCTCTCTCTTTCTCTCTTTTTTTTTTTTTTTAGAGATGAGCATTCTGTCACCCAGGCTGCTCAAAATCCTGAGCTCAAGTGATCCTCCCATCTCAGCCTCCTGAGTAGCTGGGATCACAGGTGTGTGCCACCACACCCGACTAAATTTTAAAATTTTTTGTAGAGATGAGGTGTTGCTATGTTGCCCAGGCTGGCCTCAAACTTCTGGCTTCACACAATCCTCTCGCCTTGGCCTCCCAAACTTCTGGGATTGCAGGTGTGAGCCACTGCTCCTTGCCTGCTTATATATAGTTTCTAAAGCATCTGCAATGAACATGTATTACTTGTGTAATATGAAAAAGGAAAGATACAAATAACAATTATTATTATAAACAGATGGTTTATGTTTATGAAGTCTTCCTGCCTGCTTTGTTGGTGCAGTGCTTTGGGGCAAGGCTATTATATTATAGTTGTGAGCAGAACTTGGTCAGTAAATGAGTCTTCCTACCTGTCAGCACCATGGATAGGGTTGACAATTTGTGCTCTGGCTCTCTCTCGCGTTTGTGCTTTTTTCCTGGGCATCCTGGTAAACTAGAGCTACCATCCTTTGGGAGGCCCTCCTCCAGATACTCATCCCCTTCCAGATACTCTTCTTCATCCAGACCTTCTCTCCCTTTCAGATACTTTTCCTCCCATAGATGCTCTCCCTCCTCCAGATACTCACCTTCTTTCAGATACTTTTTATACAGATTTTCTTTTCCATCCAGATTGTCTTCCTCCTCCAGAGCTTCTTCCTCCTCCAGAATCTCTTCCTTTTCCAGAGCCTTTTCCTCTTCTAGATACCATTCCTTCCCCAGATACTCTTCCTCATCCAGATACCCTTTCTTCCCCAGATAATCTTCCTCCTCAATATACTCTTCCTTCTCCAGATACCCTTCCTTCTCCAGATACCCTTCCTTCCCCAGATACTCTTCCTCCTCCAGATGCTCTTTCTTCTCCAGATACTCTTCCTCCTGCAGATACCCTTCCTTCCCCAGATACTCTTCCTCCTCAATATACTCTTCCTCCTCCAGATACCCTTCCTTCCCCAAATACTCTTCCTCCTCCAGATGCTCTTCCTTCCCCAGATGCTCTTCCTCCTTCAAGTATTCTTCCTTCACCAGATCCTCTTCCTCTTCCAGGTCCTCTTCTTCCTCCAGATACTCTTTGTCCTCTCCAGACTCTCCCTCTGGAGAAACTGGAGATTCATCCTGTAGACTTTCCTCATCTAGTTCTACTTCAGTATCCTCTTTCTCTGAAGGTAAGGTCTGTGTGGAACATTGGGGAGTTGTGGGAGGGTGAGGAGGTGATGCTCCTGATAACTGATTATTTTCAGCCGACATGCTGGGGAAGTCGTAGGTGGTGAACTCCTTCTGCAGCAGCCAACGTCACTTTATCATCCTGTATCCAAGAAAGGAATAAAATCCTATTAACCAGTAATAGCAACTGCATATTGATTTAAACCCATTTCTATTCACTTATTTCATTCAGTAGTCTTTGGAGGGTTCTTTAAGTATGCATATCAGTACCTAGTGGCCAGTGAAAAAGGCACAAGAAGAGGGAATGGAGGCTTACCCTCAACGAGCTGGGTAGGGAGACCACATCTGAAGGCCAGGCCTTTGAAATTGCTGCACAATATGAAGTCAACGGGGAGGGCTGGAAAGCAATCATTGTTTAGTGGTGCTATTGCTAGAGAAGATTTTTATTTCTCATTAAGTATTTATTGCCACAATAAATAAGACCGAGACTGTCTTCCAGGAGCTTGAAATCTGGGGAGAAAGGAGTCACAAAAAACAGATTTCTAAACACAAGTGACCAACACAATGGAAGGGTTCCCACAGCGTGGGATGGACACAGTGTCTGGGGCTTCTGGTCAGTTCAGGCCCCTGTAGTCAGAAGTCTGTGGGGTACATCCTCATGGCTACCACATGCACTGTCAGCCCTGCCCGCAGCACCATCTGCCCTCAGCTCACCAGGCAAATGCTACATATGTTTTAACACTGAGCATCTTGACTCCTCCATGAAGACTTCCAGACTCCCTCTTCTGCTCCATCCATGTCTTCTATTTTTTTTTTATTAAAGTAACTATTTTGCTATATTAAATTGTTAGCACATTTGTCCTTCCAACAGTATAAGCTCCTTAAAGGTGGGTGGGGTCAGTGTCATTCTTTTTTGAAAATAGATTTTGAATTCTTCCACTCCCCCTCCTCTCCACTGTGGCCCACTGTGATTCCCCATGGTGAACACGCCATCTCTAGACTGAATTACTGGTTTTCCTGAGACCCCTGCCACTGCTCTGCTAGTCACTTGCTGCAAAGAGTGTTCTCGTAAAAATATAAATCAAATCAGGATTTCCTTTGCTTAAAATCTCCCAGTGGCTTTCTGTTGTGCTTAGAATACGATGCCAACTTCGTCCCATGCCTGCCTGTCTTTCTGGCCTTATCTATCCCCATCCTTCCTCCCCTGCCCCCACCCTGTTACTCTCTTTTACAGCACTTATCACTGTGTCTAATTATGTGTCCATTTCTGTGTGTTCTTGTTCAGTTTTTCTCTTCCACTAGGTGTAAATGTCTCAATGATAGTGACCTTCTATAACCCATTCCCCACTGTATCTCTGATGGTTAGCTTGGAGCCTGGTGCATAATAGATGTCCAATAAACATACGGCCAGTGACTGAATGAAGGGCCAAGAAGAGGTGGCTGTATAGCAGTGCACCTTGAAGGTTTAAAAATGACATTTATTCTGCGCAACAGGACAGACTGAAGAGGCAACTGGCCCAGAATCCTTCTGCTTGCTCTGGGGACTTAAGAGATACATATCTTGGCATGCCTCTTTCTGGTTGTCTGAGTGGGAAACTCTGTTCTAGGGAACCAGCCAGATGAGACCACCAGGATCAATTTTAGCAAATGCAGCATGAGGTCCAAGATGAGGGGTGTGACGGACAAGGCCATTTATCATGGGCAAATGGCACATTTACCCACCCACATCACTGTTGGAGCCCTTGGATTGCTGGATTCTGATAGGGTTAGCCTGGGGCAGGGAACAGAGAAGTACACTGTCCAGATCCCCTTTTCAAAGAAGGACTTGCTGCCCAGCGGTGAGAAGTGTGGTCAACAGGTGGCCCCAGCTGCCAGCTCCTTCAGGATGTGCCTCAGCTGCAGATTCCCTTTCTGGTAGTGATGCCCTTCTTGGGGCAGCCTGTATCTGAGCACCAGGCAAGGTGGAGGAAGAAAGGCTACCAGGCAGCGCACCTCTGAGAGGCCACATTCACCCCAGAGCTCTCCGGCAGGCTGACCAAGGCTCACCAAGCCTACTCCACAGGTGCCATCTCCATCTGGGCCAGGCCTGCTTCCTCTCCCTTTTTCCTCCAGGGGTTGACCCCAAGAAACATTTTGTATCTCAACAGTTGCATCTCAGCAGTTTGCATTTTACAGTCTATTTCCAGAGAACCTACCTTGTGATAGCTTCACAGAATGTAACTCTGGGAAATAACTGACTGAAAGAGTTGGTGGAGAGGAAAACAAGGCCTCACTGGTAGCCTGATGGCTTAAAAGGTCAGTGGTTGAGGGTAGGGAGTAACCGGATCTGCCTGGGGCAGGGAAAGCTGATGGTGCTGAGAGGTGACAAAGATGGTAGCAGTAAAAGGGAAGCCCGTGCATGGAGAGTTTTAAAACCCATCATGAAGCATCATTGTGTTGGGTGGCATCAAAAGAGAAAATTGCAACAAATTTAGTTATTAATTGAATTGGCTTTTATTCATGATTCATGAATAGAACCATTTTACAAACAGAATGAGAGCTCCCACCAGGCAGTAGCAAAACAGCGGGCTCTGTGAGGTGAGAACACAGAAACAGCAATAAAAAAAAGTGGATTGGCTAACATCGGGTTACTTCAGGTTACTTTTTTTGGTAAGGGTTAAAGCAGAGAGAGGACTTGCTTATTATTCTCACTCAGGTAGACTGGAATCTCCTGTTTTCAGGAAAAACTGTGCTGTTCTGGGATCTATCTGTTTCCTTGCAGTTTCACTTTGATTATATGGCACTTAGCATGAGTGACTCCATTCTGGTTTTTGGTCTTGTCTACTGGGACCTGATGCAGGGGCCTCGTCCAAACTGATGGCTTCCCATAAGTTTTGCTTCACAGTGGTGATGGCGAAAGTGTTGGGATTAAAGCAACTCTGGAGCAAGAGGATTCCCGTGGCCATTTGCTAGACAGTTAAGAAGCAGCGGGGACTGGAAGCTGTGCCTGCAGTTGACTTGCCCTTTTATTCTTCATTTTATGGCTCTGTAGTATATGAATATGTTTTCAGGTAGGCTGCCTCCAGTGCTTTTTGGAGGAGGTGAGGTATAAATAATACATGAGCTGATGGTGGAGGACACTATCTTTGGGGCAAAGGGTGAGCTCCGGAAAGCTTTGGGACCCACCCGCACCGATGTCTGCAGAAGCCTCTTCCATTGTAAAGGAGGCCCCTTCAGCTTTATTCATCTAAAACCTCAACACACACCTATTATCGCCGTCCACTTCTAATTCCCATTGGCTCCTGCTGCCTTGCCCTAAGACAGAGCTGGGATGGCGAGAGCAATTGAAGAGTGGTGACAAGGATTCTTTGCTTGACCAAACTCCAGTCAGGCCCCTGAACCTTCTCCCAGATCCATCTGTGCACTTCCTTGTAAAATCCAGTTTCATTTTATTTATTTTTTTCTTTATTTTGAAAAAATTTAGGGGGTACCAGTGTAATTTTGTTCCATTCATAGGTTGTGTGGTAAAGTCAGGGTTTTAGGGTCTCCAACACCCAAATAACATACATTGTACTTGCTAAGTAATTTCTTGCTGTAAGAATTTCTCACCATCCTCTCCTCTCCCACTCCCTCACTCTTTTGAGTCTCCATCGTCTATTTTTTTTTCTTTTTGAGACTTGCTCTGTCGCCCAGGCTGGAGTGCAGTGGCGCGGTCTCAGCTCACAGCAAGCTCCGCCTCCCGGGTTCACACCATTCTCCTGCCTCAGCCTCCCGAGTAGCTGGGACTACAGGCACCCACCACCATATCCAGCTACTTTTTTGTATTTTTAGTAGAGATGGGGTTTCACTGTGTTAGCCAGGATGGTCTCAAACTCCTGACCTTGTGATCCACCTGCCTCAGCCTCCCGAAGGGCTTGGATTACAGGTGTGAGCCACCACACCCAGCTGAGTCTCCATTGTGTATTATTCCACACTCTATGCCTACTCAGAAGTGACAGCATGTGGTGTTTGTCTTTCTGTGACTGACTTATTTCACTTAAGATAATGACCTCCAGTTCCATCCATGTTGTTGTGGAAGACATGATTTCATTCTTTTATGACTGCACAGTATTCTATTTTGTATATATGCCACATTTTCTTTGATCATCTGTTGGTGGACATTAGGTTGATTCCCTATCTTTGCTATTGTGACTAGTGCTATGATAAACATACAGGTGCAGGTATCTTTTTGATGTAATGATTTCTTTTCCTCTGGGTTGATACCCAGGAGTGGAATTGCTGGATTAAGTTATAGTTCTATAAAGTCCAGTTTTAGCAAGAAACCTGCTAAGTCAGTTTAGCAAGAACCCCTTCCCATCCTCCATATCTGACCATTCTTGTTACCTGATCAGATTTCTCATCCTCCCCATGCCCCAGGCCTGCCTTCCTCAAGAATCCTGTCAGGGTGGCTTAGCCTGAATCTCCCTTATCCCGTTTCTTGTTAATTTCCCGTCTACCCTGATGATGTCTTGATGTTTCCTCTGAGTTAATTTCCTATCCATTGATTCCCCACTCTGCTCCTTGGCTGTAAATTTCCATTTGCCCATGCTGTATTCAGAATTGAGTCCAGTTCTATACTGGGATCTCTTTTCTCCTATTGCAATAGTTCCTGAGTAAAATATATTTTTACTGTGGGGCATGGTGGTGCACACTGGTAGTACCAGCTACTTGGGAGGCTGAAGTGAGAAGGATCACTTGAACCCAGGAGTTCAAGACCAGCCTTGGTCACCTAGTGACAGCCTATCTTTAAGCAATTTTAAAATGTATATATTTTATGACTTTGATGACTGTCCAGCTTTAGTTTTCTTTGACAGCCAGTCTGTCTAGCCCTCCCCTGGGAGAGGTGAGGAGCACACATAGGCACTGGCCACTCTATCAAAGGCTTACGTTGCAGGTCAGATTTTTGTAGCTGCTTAACATATCAGAATCAGCCAGTCGCCTGGCTAGCCCAGGGAGCATTTATCAATGGTGTGCCGTCATTCAGCGTGACGGGTCTTTTCTTCCTATTTTCTCATCAGGCCTTGTAAAAAGGGTCCAGGCAACTGCTTTCTCATTTCAAAGATCAGAAAGAGAAACTGCATTCTACACACTCTCCCTTTAATTCTCTTTGAAATTTGTAAGACA